ATCAATAGTAAATGATTGCACATTGAACTTGATTTGCATACTTCATTTAAAAAGACATGCAAAAGGAAACTTATTAATGGTGTGTAATAACATGAAGGGCAGCACTAAAAGATGTTTTACTTAAGCAAGAAACTTTGAACTATCTACTTTCAAGGAAAAAACCTGAGAACACATTAAAGTTTGAAATCCATGATAGGTTCCTTCACGGTTGAGAGTAAGAAAAACAAAATCCAAAAGTCAACAGCACAAAAATAATAAACAATATCCTTGTAGTGATCGCATCTGATAAGTTGAACATCAATATCTCCTTCCTAATCCAATCTTTCCTACACCTTAATGGCATAAAAACGCATTTGTTGGTTTTGCATGGAAACAAGGCAGAAAAACAGATGAAATAAAGAGAACTTTTTGAGAAAAGAAATGCTCTGTTTTTTATTCAAAAAACAAGGGCAAATATATACCCAGCTTACGGCACTGTTCCAATAAGAAATTACAATATTCAAATTTAAACTTACTACACGGTGTACACGTACAAGCATGGAGGGAGTTACACTTAATCAACCTAATACACCTAAACAAATTATGATAGGATTGGACTGAAATGGCAAAACAAAACCCAAATCAAACATGAGCCGAATCCAAAGCTTCAACTTAGCTAAAACAATCTACTCATCACCCAACTCCAACTCTAACAGTTAGACGATCCACTCATCTCATGCTTGCTTTTTTCATATAATTATTTGTCACAAACAAACAACTAACTATCACATACAGGCATAGCAAACTAACCTGGAAGTTTCAGAGTGTCTGTGATTTGGGGCCTCCTTTTCCAGTTGCCGAGATCGGAGATGGCGATGGAGATTATCGATTTCAGAGTGTCTGGCTTGCGATTTGGGATTTGGGGATCTTTGTTTACGATTTGGGATTTAGGGCAAGTGGGATTGTGAACTGAAATTGATTTGGTATTTTGGTGTATCGTGTTATAAGAATTTGCACTTTGGGGGGGAAACTATCAATTTTTAAACTTTTTCACTGGAAAATATCAGTTTAATACCAAATGGTTTAAAAAATCACCAAAGCACCCTACGTAAGTGCACAGTGCTTACGCGACCAGGCTTGCGAGCCCACGAGCCAAGCCTCATTGTGTTTGAACTTGACTCGGTTAACAAATCGAGTTCGAGTCGAGCCTTATCGAGCCGAGCTCTAACCGAGCTTTTACCGCGCGAGCTGGCTCGGCTCGTTTACAGTCCTAGATTCAACCCTTTCTCTTTCATCTCCTTAAATCTCAAGTGTGCTTCATTGAGATTACCATTCTTCCCAAGGCAATTGATCAAAGAATTGTAAGAGATGATATCTGGTTTATAGTTGTCATTCTCAAGTTCTTCAAAAACTTTAACAGCCTCGTCAATGTTTCCAGCCCTACCAAAGCTTGCGATCAGAATATTGTATGTAAATATATCTGGGGAAGGGCCATCTCTTTTCATTTTCTCATAAAGATCATAGAAGTGAGATATTTGCTTCAACCTGCCAAGAGATGATAATACTGTGTTATACATCATTGTATCAGGACCTATTCCCTTCTCATGAATCTTACTCAGCAGGTCCATAGCCTCTGTTCTTTTGCCTGTACTGCACAGGCTTTCTAACATGGACATGTAAGCATCCCGATCTCCCCTATCATCTAAGCTCCACATGTTGCAAAACAATCAATGAGCTTCACTTGCGTGGCCCAATTTGCTCAGAGTCTTAACAAGATATGCATTGATTGACTTAGTCATGTATTTCTTTGACACTTCCACAACCTCATCTAGTTTAGCAAGCTGCCCTTCTGCGGCCAGAACATTTAAAATGATACTATAAGTAAATTCATTAGGTCGACATTCTCTTTCCACCATTTTAGAGAAGAGAAGAATAACTTTGTCAACCATCCGTCCGTTTGCAAGTGCCTGGATCATAGTGTTATAAGCAAATAAATTAGGAGTGCAGTACTTTGTTATCATTTGGTCAAAAAAGTGTCAGTGATTCATCAGGTCTACCCATCTTTCCAGTCATTCTGATCATGATTGTGTAGGTGTACTCATTAGGCTCACAATGCTTCTGTTCCATGTCTTCAAAAGAACTGTAGGCTTCATCAACCTGTCAAAATACTGCAGATCAGCTAATAAGGATCCATGGAACTAACGATGGACTGCAAAGCAACTACCAGGAAAATGCACTTGTATGAATGAACTACAACACACCAATCTTAAAGAAACATCTGGATGTAAATAAATAGAATGCTAAAACCAGGCTTGCACATTGTTTCTCATCATTTGATGGAATTCCTATATTACTTTCTGGTTTACTATAAAAGCTAATCGCCTGGCAGTATCCAAACACTTCCTTTCATAGCATGCCTCACGATTTAGAAACAAAATCAAAATATTCTTCCACTTTTGACAATCAATTTTAAATTCCTAGACATTCCCTACAGATCCACTTTCATGGCTACCTCAACTTCACAGAAGATTAATGCTTACAGGAAAAGCTATAAAACATGCTTTGAGCTCCATGCATTAATAATTATAAGGCAGAATAATTAAACAAACATATAAAAAAAAAAAAATGAGTTTGGAATTTCACAACAAGAACCTTTTCATTTTTGGCCAAAGCATCCAGTAGCATGTTGTAGGCAAAGATGTCCAACTAATATCCTTTCTTCCACATCTCATTGTAAACCCTGAACGCCTCGTGCATGTCATGTGACCTCAAGTAAGCTTGTAGTAAACACTTGTACGTGCAGCAGTTCATCTTCAAGTCCCATTTTTTAACCAACCCAATACAATTTTTCAAGTCATCAAAATTACCAAAGAAAGCCAATCAAAATGTTAACGGTCGAGATGTTTCCACGTATCTTGGATCTCTCCATGTCGCTCAGTAATGCACAGACGATATCAAACCGGTCGGGGGGAGTCGATTTAGATAGAATTAAAATGAGTCGCGAGTAAGTAAAGGCGTCGTGGTAAAAATTAGGGGAAAGTGATGGACAAAACTGGAAAAAATTATATGCAAGACGAGGATAGTTTAGGGATTTGAGAATTTCGGAGGCTTCGGGTGAAGTGAGGGGGAGACAGAGAGGAGAAGTAATTCGACAGCGATGACGTGGCGGTACGGTATTGGATGAGGCGAGTGGCCTTGCAGATGATAAGGTGGCGCGGGATTGGGTAGCCGCGAGAGTCAGAAGGGATGGGCTGAGGTGTCGTGACTTTGGGCATGAGGGAATGGCTGGTCGGGGAGGTTGAGCTGATTTTGGCTATGATTTTGTGGCATAGTGACGCCATGTGATAGTGGCAGCGGCAGCGGCGCATGGTTGTTGTAGTGGCTTGGAGTTTGGATTTTCTACAAGTGAACTCATTGTGTCTCCTATCCATGACTATTATTACTATTCTAAGATATGGGATATGAGTAGCGGACGGTAGGTATTACTATTCTAAGATATGCCATACGAGTAGCGGATGGTGGGTATCCGAGAGTGTATTTTAAACCTTTTTTATATATAGATATGTATGTTGGTATTCTTAAAAATATCGATACAAATTGATACGATTTTATTAATTTTTGGCCTAAAATTTTTTTCAAGTTGGATCCGAATCACACAATCTGGTTCACTAAAATCTGCCCAAATTTATCAATTTTGTGTGGAAAAAGCAAAATAGAAGAAGTGTTGTTCATTTTACATGAGAATAATAACACAAGATATTAACATTGATGTTAAAAATAATATAAATTCTTAATTTCGTAATTAATTTTGATTATCTAATATCATAATTTATTAACTTAATTAATTTTGGTATTATAATATCATAATTTAAAGTTAACAGGACCATTTTTAAATTTTTTATTATTTTATTAATTTTTTTTTGAAAAAGGCATATATATATGATAAGTTACGCAATACGAGAATGATATGTAGCTACGCAATACACGATTTTCGATACTCATTGATACGCGGTTTGACAACATACTTCCATTTATCTACGTCCTTTGGGTTTTGTTTGTAATTTGTGTGTCATGGATGGACCTCATGGTGCAGGAACGAAGAATCCATAATTAATAATTTATTAATTTAATTATAAAATAGTAATTAAATTTTATTTTAAAAGTAAAATAAGAGTGTAATTTTTAAGTAAAATTGGATTTACCAGTTCCAGATACCGATACTGTTTGCAAAACTTAATACACCCCTATTGTTCATAAAATGACAAAAAAGTCCTGTGAAAAAATACACCCCAAATATTTACATAAATTACAAATAGACCCAAAAATCTGTTTACAAAAATGACAAATGTAACCTCGATTCCGAGTCCCGTTCCCAGTTCATTACATTACATATTATAGTTAAGACTACATATGAATAATTTGATTTGAAAATCATCCAATATTTGTGAGGTAACGCCGTAACGGGTATGATGCAAGGCTATACAACAGTTCAGTTATAATGGAATGTTTTATTGGTGTGAGTAGTTAAATTTAGATAACTTGATTGAGGAAGATAACTTGATTGAGTAGTATGTGACATTTACAAAGTAAGAAGAGGCTGATGATTACACAAACAAGGAGTGGCGTGACTTTATTTAGGATCAACATTGTAACAAACCCTGTTGATAAGTATCCCATTGATCTCATCTGCACCACTTTTTAGTCCCACAATTTGAACTACCAAAGCCAAAGGTGGGCCTAAACTAAGCTTGTTCATTAGATTGTCCATGGTGTACCTGAATATGATGATGAAAAGAAAAGAAATAATGAAAGCATGTAGTTTGAGTACTACAAAGTGCAGTCTGTTTATGTGGATAACTCCGTGAGCGGGTAATGATAAAAAAAAAAAAAAAAAAAAGCAAAACCAGTATTCTAGAAATGACAAAGATGTTCAAAATTGGTTATCAGTTGTACCGTCATATGTGACTTTACCTTTAACCTTAGCTGCCTTTAACCTTGGCTTCATATAAAGGTATAAAATGTACAGTACAACCCTTCTCATTTATTATGCTTACACATCAAAAGAAATTTGACTCAGAACTCCTCATATTTTCACTATAATGGCTAGTGGTTCAACGTACCTGATAGTGAGGCCAGAGCAAGGTGGAATTCTGGACTTGGCCAAATACTTGGTGTTGGGGGACATAAGGAGCGGTGTCAAGTTTTTGGAATTTGAGAATCCCAGTGGAGCAGAACAGCTACCGGTTGGTGATCATAGATGGGTTATTGTTGTCTCTATTATCGCGCGTAAGATTATTGGGTTTTTTGGTAAGCCCTTGGAGTACACTGGCTATGTTGTGGATTTCTTTCTTAATCTTCTCTCTCAGAATGGGAACCTTCTTGGCTTACTATACAACCTCCTCCATGGTAAACTTCCTCAAATAAACTCTCTTTCTGTATATTTATGTTTTATTTTCTCTTTTCATAACTTGCTTGATCATTTGTGTTCCAACATCAACCACTTCATTTATGGTTTTGTAACGGTTGCAATTATCTTACTTGTTGGGCATTTATGACCTTACTAGATACTAAAATATCAAAAAGTTTCACAATCCTTGTTGCATGGTTGATGTTATGGGGATGTAGGCAAGGTCGTAATTCCACGGAGAGGCACGCAGACTTTTCTTAGTACTATTGGGCATTTGGATGACCGAATAGACCTTTACAAGGGCCAAGACTTGGTGGAGCAATTGATCTGTGATTCTGATTCAGGGGAGAGTGGCGTAAATTTGAAAATGGGGAACCGAGCTCTCATGGACCTCTGTATGATGGCATCCAAGTTAGCATATGAGAATGCTGAAGTTGTTAAAGATGTAGTTCATCACTGGAAGGCAAGCTATTCTATTTCTGTTTCATCCCCTCTATACAATAATTCATTGATCTTTTGGTATTGATTGATTCATTAATGTTTTCTATGAACTTCCCATATAAATAATATGATTTATGATTTAGACATTTTGTGAAAGCAGATGCATTTTGTGGACTTTTACAACTGCTGGAATGGTAAGGATTTTGATTAGTGGTTGCATTCATTTAAGGCCATGACTGTCCTATCTCTTTCCTTGAGAAAAACTCCATATATTCAGTTGTTTTGATCAAATTTTCTGTCTTTTATCTTTTCATATTCTTCTTCTTTCTTTTGGGGTTTCATTTTATAGATTTCCAAAAGGAGATGTCCACTCAAGTTTTCATATTATGTGACAAGCCCAAAGATGCAAGTTTGATATTGATCAGCTTTAGGGGCACAGAACCTTTTGATGCTGATGATTGGAGTACTGACTTTGACTACTCTTGGTATGAGATACCGAAATTGGGAAAAGTCCATATGGGATTCTTAGAAGCCTTAGGGTTGGGCAACAGAACCAATGCTGAAACCTTCCAATATCACCTTCAGTCGAAGGCAGCAAATTTCAACCTGTCAAAAAGTGATGATGTGACTGGAAATTCTTCAAAAGGTCGTGAATCAATACCATCAAGAACTAAGTTTGGCTTAGAAAAAAATGGTAGTGATCACTCTTTTGACTCTGAGGAACTAGCTAGTACTGTAATGCCACCAGAAGCACTGGAGGTGACTGCATATTATGCTGTGAAAAGTAAGCTGAAGAGCTTACTCAAGGATCACAAGAATGCAAAATTTGTGGTCACTGGGCATAGCTTAGGTGGAGCCCTTGCTACATTGTTCCCAGCGGTGCTGTTGCTACATGAGGAGATGGAGATAATGCAAAAATTGTTGGGTTTATATACATTTGGACAACCAAGGGTTGGGAATCGGCAGCTGGTGAGTTTCATGGAAGCTCATTTGGATTCTCCAGTACCAAAGTACTTCAGGGTGGTTTACTGCAATGATTTGGTGCCCAGGTTGCCGTATGATGACAAAACTTTCTTGTACAAGCATTTTGGTGTGTGCCTATACTATGACAGCTTCTACGTTGAACAAGTACGTATATACTGACTTTCTGTTCAAAGTTTCTCTTACCTTTCACTTACAATACTTTTCATTTCGTATTTCATGAACTACTTTTCAACTTTTCATGGTGAACCTACATGATAAGCCAGTTGTCTGTATGCTATTAATATCTATATCTGAAATGGTTGATTAGAGAAAATCCTTGTTTCTTTCAGGATTTCTTTTGGCAAACTTTTTCATTTTCTTTGTTGGTAGAATTTCAGATGAATTATTTAGAAAATATATCCTTGGGGAGCATTGTATATATGATAAAAGTTTTTCTGTGGAAGATGTTATGGACAAGAATCCTCATACATTTGTGTTCAAAGTCATGTTGTGACAGCCAGAGTCTTCCATTAACAGTTTTTGTTGTTCATAGTAATGACTTGTATCTTCTCCACTGCATGCATATTAAAGAAAGTGGACGAAGAGCCAAACAAAAATTTCTTTGGGTTAAGGTACCTGATTCCAGAACATCTAAATGCTGTTTGGGAGTTAATCCGAAGCTTAACAATGGGTTACACCTATGGACCAGAGTATAAGGAGGGGTGGTTTTCCATCTTGCTCAGGATACTGGGACTGGCACTCCCGGGCATTTCTGCACATTGCCCGACAAATTATGTCAACTCTGTGAGGCTTGGAAAGGAGCGTGTTGTTCAGATGTCATCTCTTGAGAGAGCTTCTTTTCTGAATGATGGATGATTGCACTTGGATTCTCATGGAACCAAGAGATCATTGATCTAATGAACTCATCATTGGATAAAATTATAAGGTACCATTGCATTACTTTTTTATATGCTTTAGGACGAATGTCTGTTTTTGTATTCGTTTCTATTTCTGTTCAAAATCTTCTTTATCAACAACAGGATTATAAAGTCTTTGCAATATACCACCGCTGTGTCCATGGAATGTTTTTCTTGAATTCTAGTTAAATTTTTTGCCTTGCTATAATTTATTGCCGACATTCTGGTCATGTTGTGTCATACTGAATGATCATCCAATGGTTTCAGTTAAGTAAAAATTGAAGATAAAGAACATGGCAGTGAAACTTTAATGCAGCAGATAAGAGTGTTTACTTGGTTACAAAGCAAAAACCACGTGAGATTAGTAAATTCCAAAGAGAAAATTCAACTGTTTCAAAGAGCTTTATTACTTTTTGATTGCATAAATTATACATAAAGATTCTACCAACAAAAATAAGAATTCGCATACCCAAAGACATAGTCCTCTTCTGTATCAAAAAATTGAGAAACAAACTAAGAAATAGCAAGAATTATTAACCGAAGCCACCTAAAGTTATGCATTCCTGACCTTTTAGACCCTAAAGAATTGAGAACTTTCTTGCATAAATTACAAATGCCACTTTTGAATGACTCTTGGATAGAAAATTTTAACAAATTTGGCAGATCATACTCTGAACATCATTCTTGTAAAGGTAAAATACCGAGGTCAGGATTGCTTTCATTAAAAAATTGAACAATAAACATATGCATACCATGGCTTCAGACTGTATGAGCTGATTGAATCACATTCAAGTCTAGATTTTTAAGCCTCACCACTGATTCTACATGTCCTTTCAAAGTGTGAATCTCTCCCAGTCTGTCAAATTCAACAGTCATTTTAACAATTAGAATTCAGAGTATATTCATTTCATAAAAATATTTCTCAAAACATTCCTGAGGCATTTTTAGCAAAGTATGTATACATAATTTAGCTAGAAAAATAACATATTCAAACCTTAGAGAACAATAGAAGTCAGAATTACCTGGCTATTTCAGCACGCCGCCTGGCTTGCTCAGCAATCAAAGAGGATCGAGACCGCCTGCCATTGAACTCCTCTGAAGCCATTAAACCTTGAAGACTTCTCTGAGAAAGAACCCACTGAGCTGCTCTATCTTCCTTCCCGTAATCTTTCTTTGAAGTAAAAGCAGTCTGTTGAAACACAGAATTAGATAGGAAAAGCATGAAATTTTTTTTCAAGCTTATGCTTAATCCTTGATGAGATGAATGATCAAACCTAGACAAATATGAAACACTGCACTGACCTTTCTATCAAATAACAGATTCCAGGCCTCTCCACTCAAGGCGTACCGAACTGTGAACTTGATGATGTCCAGTGGAATGTAGAATATCAAGCTGTATAACCATATAATTCCAGCCCATCCCCATCCAATGCCACTGATATAAGCAAAGCTAATATGTGCGTAGACAGCAATTATGGTAGCAACCTAGATGTTAAAGAAAATAATTAACAAGGGATTTTAAACGCAGCCTGGTGTCAAGTAGAGTGTATAGATATGCACAAGAAGTGGATATCAAATATAGTGAGCTTCTCTTATTAAAAGCATACCAGTTGAGCCACCACAAATGCACACATCAAGAGAGCTCCAGGCCTTTCTACAAATGACCAACTCTGACTTCGTGTAACAAATATGAGAGCCTGGCTGATGATGCTCACTTGTAGATATACAGCAGATGACACTTGCTCACTATCGCTAGAGATGGACCTTACATGAAAGTGGGTCTGCAGCAACATATACGGTTAATATCAGAATATAGCTGAAGATAACTCAACAAGTATATTTTTCAACATCTACAGAACCAAAATCTTCACATGAGGATTAAATAAACTTGATACCTCAAAGAAAGTGGTGTCAACTATAACCCAGTAAAATAGGACTGTAACCAATGCGAGATAGGTGCCAATGACAATTCCAGTTGCAAATATCTCATTGAGTTTCCAACTGTCAGGCCTCGGAGATGGCTTCACCCGATCTTTAGAAATAGTCATGATGGTTCCTATTTGCAAATATACAATAAATTTATGAGATGGGAAAAGTGATAGAAGATAAGATAACACATAAACCATAAGAACCCTGTATTTTACTCTGGATAACTGAAGCTAACTTCAAATTTGGGTTTGTAGATTTTTTTTATTTTACATTCTTATCTGCGGTCTAACTTAAGAGATCACTAAGAAAAATGGAAAAGGCATTACATATTGAAACATTACCGTCGTTCAATATTGCAATGATCAAAACCATGAATGGTGGAAAGTCATATTCCCATATCAAAGCTAGAAGCACGAAACCAAGCTGCAACAGAATCGGATACAAAAACCATTCAAAACTTAAAATAAAATAAATCTTAATGGCCATAAATAAAAAAAAAAATAAAAAATAATCAAACATGTAAACCCCTGCTTACCACAATACGAATAGTTATGGAGACAGCATATATCTGCATATTCAGGAGGGATAATCAGTTTTTCAATTTGGTCAGCTTCAAAGCAAAATATACGCAGAGATATGATAAATTATAAAACAAAACTGAAGTATGACATGTTTAATACTAGAAATAATCTTATGTACCCTGTACCCCGACTGATATTGGACATCTGAGTGCTCCTAGAATGTCTCCTACTCCCAAATTTAGCTTGCAATGATATTTACTTTAACATGGTTTACTATTGGACTAAGAAATTTGACATATCAAAAGAGGGTAACGCATTTACAGAAGTTGGATCATTCAATCAAGTGATTCTTTATGAACTAGTAATCTGGTAGCATAAATTACATGTGGTGAGAATTTCATTGCTATCTAACATGCATGCCATAGAGACCTAAGTTTGCTATAGATTTAATGTTGAAATTGTGTTTTGAAAAAGATCAAAAATGTACCGTATAATTCTTCATTCTTTGGAATATAGCCCTGCTAGTCAACACAGCACTGACAATCACACTTAAGCCAGGCTCAGTTAAGACTATGTCAGCTGCACTCCTTGCAGCATCAGTAGAATCTGCCACCGCTATTCCAATATCAGCTTTCTTTAAAGCAGGTGCATCATTCACACCATCTCCAGTCATTCCAACCACATGCTTCTTCTCTTGTAGAATCTTTACGATTTCATATTTATGTTCTAAAAGTAGCATAGCAAGGATTACCAGTATCAGGAGATGAGCAGAAAAAAACTATAAACATGAAATATTCATATTTTGAGAAATGTTCAGTAACTTGACAAATATTAGCTCTTCCCTTATAATATGCTTTTATCTTTATATTCTATTTGTAGCTCAAAACTAGATAAATTTTAAAAGCATCCCTAATCAAATTATAACAACTGTTTCATATACCAGGAAATACGCCGGCAAAACCATCTGCCTTTTCAATGAGCTCATCCACAGGAAGAGCTTCATGAGCTTCATTTTCATGTTTGTCACGGCCCAACAGTGACGAAGAGGGGTACATGTTTGTTCCCATTCCAAGTCTTCTGCCTGTCTCCTTTGCAATTGCCAACTGATCACCTGTAGTAGCACATAGAATAACGTATTTCAATTGGACAGAATACAGAGGACGTTAAGAGTCTCATTCTCACAGTTCATTTATATACCATTGGCAGGATCAATTTTAAATTATTAACTTACACAGTCCTGATTTTTGTAGTATGATTTTGTTGGCAAGGAGTAACAGGCATAGAGGATATATGATGTCTACTATGGTCTGTAATATCATCAAAAATTCATGTACCTGTGATCATCTTAACACAGACTCCAAGGTTAAGTGCTCTACGGATGGTCTCAGCGCTATCATGTCTAGGAGGATCAAACAAAGGCAGCAACCCACAAAAAGTCCATGGACCTCCAGGACTCTCCTTAGTCTTTTCAGGAACTTCCTGTAAATGAAGATAATGAGTTAATGAAGATGCATGATTAATGAAGTTCAAAAGCATTCCTATTTGCTTGATACAATCAACACCAAGGAATAAAGGACACTGAATAAGTTATACCTGTAAAGCAACTCCGAGAGATCGTAAGCCCCTTTCAGCAAATTTGTCTATGATAGCATGCACTTTTCCAGCAATCTCGTCTCTCTCTGGGCATAGATTTAGGATCTGATATTTATGAAAAGAATACATGTTAAGAAAAAATTCTATACCTTTTGCAAATTACTTATAGGTAAATAGTTTTTGATATATCAAAATCATAAATACCTGTTCAGGAGCTCCTTTGCTGGCCCGATACCATTTACCATCAGAATCAATGTATGTGATTGCAGTACGCTTATCCACTGGATTGAATGGCAGAAAATGGACTTCTTTAATGTTTGCACGTGCCTGCATTGAAAAGGTCTTGCATAAGCATCTAGGAAAAGAAAAGAATAGACCCAGGAAACTTCAGTGCTGAGGTAGATTATTTTCCAGATTTACCTCTTTTGGATCAGCAAGCATATTAACAATGGCAGCGTCAATAGCATCCTGGTTCTCCACTCTTGCAGCTCTGGCTGCAAGCAAAACAATCATGTCTTTGTCCATATTCTTATTGAAAACCTGCAGGACATTTGTTTGATCTTAGGCTCATCTGGACATATGATGCAGTGAAAGGAAGTAACAACATCTCAGAGTTTAGAAGCTTTTCAGTAAAACTAGAAAGGACGAAACAGATTACAACAATCTTAGTTTTTGATGTCTAAAAGATTTATTTGTTATTAGAAAGTTTTTAATTGACAAATGAAATGAAGATTAAAGTAAACTAGGTGAAGAATTGCTTCTCTCATAGATATTTCGACAAGAAGTCAGTAGCCATACCTCTATAAGGTTCCGATCAACAGTGAGGCGATTCAAAGTAAGAGTTCCAGTTTTATCACTGCAGAGAACATCCATACCAGCCATTTCTTCAATTGCAGTCATCCTTTTTGTAATGGCACCCTTAAAAGTTTGAAAACAAAAAGAAGAAAGAAGATTTTGAAAGTCAAGACACAATTTGAATTGAGTTTCATGCTTATTTAAAAAAATGGAAAGGACAGAACTTAAGTTTCTTTCTGTTGCTAAATAATTCAGCTTATTATATCAAAAGCAGAAGCTTTTGGTTTATAGTCTTGGCAAGTTTGAGCATGGATTTGCCTTTGGTTTCAACTTCAGAACACTTGAAAGTTGATGACAACAGAAACCATGCTAGTATGAGATGCAGGGTAAGTTCAACATATTTTAGGCTTGTAGATGTTAAGAGTTGCACCTGTTGCGAAAGGCGATGAGAGCCAATTGCAAGCGTAACAGATAACACAGTTGGCATAGCTATTGGTATTCCTCCGATTAAGAGAACAAGAAGGTTGTTGATTCCATCCCTGTATGAGCGCTTCTGTATAGGGAACATGACAATGATTTCAAGAACCATTCCCACAGCTATAGAGCAAATGCAGAAGTTCCCAATGGATGTAAGGACCTGCAGACAAGTATATCCATAAACTCATATTATTCTCTAACCAGGTCTTCAGGTTTAATAATAATTGAAGAAATTTCAGAAATTATTTTTGATAGCCACGAATATTTGTAAATGCATCTGACCGATATTGAAGTTTGTAAAAATTAAAGAGACATAAGTTGGGGCTATTTGGGGTAACCTGCTGGAAATGCCCAACAACTTCTGTGGAGTCAACTAGATGTGCTGCTTTTCCAAAGAAAGAGTGAACACCGGTTGCAATCACCACAGCTTCAATTTCACCATGCTTACATGTTGAACCAGAATAAACCTCATCACCAGTTCTCTTGGTGACAGGGAGTGATTCTCCAGTTAGTGCTGACTGCACCCAAATTTTTACATTTTTTATCAGTATATGAATTGTATGGAGTTGCTTTAGAAATAATGCAAAAAAATTTAGTACTTTTTCACTGAATAGTACAGAACCAAGAAAGAACATTTAACATAATGTGATTAATAAAAGTGCAGGGAGTATATTATATCACAAAAAAAAAAAAAAAAATAAAAATCAATTTTTTTTTCTATATGCAAGAGGCACTAGCCTGGTCAATCTTAAGAGGGTCTCCTTCGAGAAGACGAGCATCTGCAGGGATAATATCCCCAAGCTTTATGCTAATTATATCACCTGGCACCAAAATAGATGCATCTTGCTCTTGCCAATGCCCATCACGGAGAACCTGCATAAAGACATTGTCAGTGGATATAAAATTGCATATGCAGAAGATGATTTTTTGTTTTTTTTGATAAGGGAAATGAGCAACACATTTATAGTAGAAAACTAATATGGTTTTGATTGCTTTTTACAAATGTTTTTGTTCTGATAGTTGAAGGCATCAATGAGAGGGACAAACCTTCGTTTTTGGAGCTAAACGCGCCATAAGGGCTGATGCTGCATTTCCAGCATTATTTTCTTCTATAAAACTAATTGTTGAGTTGATTATCAATAGACAAATAATCCCGACAAAGTCTTGCCAATCAGGACCCTCCCCCTGAAAAAATATCATTCCCAATAATTGATTCAGTTATGAATCATTCAGATGAAAGCAAGATGGCTATTTAAATAGAAAAGGAACCAGAAAAAAAAAAAAAAAAAAAATCTACTCACTCCACCATTGGCAAGGACTATTGCCATCACTGCTGCAGCTTCCATAACCCATGACAAAGGATTCCACATAAAACTGAGAAATTTCAGAAACTTGTTCTCCTGCATCAAAAAAATTGAGGATGTGTAATGGACTTAGAAGACAATTCAATTTCATGAACCTTGTCATTAATGAAGTTAGATAGAAACAGAAAGGGATGCTGTGGTATGATTAAGCCATATGGTCTGACGCTCCTAACCTCAAACTCCACATCAACTTCCATTACCCCGAATATTTTGCAAGAAAATATTTTCCAGAAACAAATATGTTATTTTGGCGAGGAAGGGAATGAATCATTTTAGCTCTGCAATTTCCTAGGCGCATTCTTTTGGTTCTGAAATTCAGCCTACGCAAGTAATTTTATCTCCTCCCCAAGATAAATATAAGTGAACATTCCGAACATAACTTTTCCTCACATCTTGCCAGTTTAGAATTTGTTATTTAACTTGTCATGCACATGCATATAAATATAAATTCCAGTGCAGAGAGCTCTGACTCAAGTTCCAATTGTCTACTTGCTTAAGAAACTTACAATGAATTCACACAAATTTTAAAACTGTGATTACCGTCTTCTCCTCAAGCTTGTTTGGACCAAAAATCTTCAATCGCACTTCAGCATCTTCAGAAGAAAGTCCTTGCGCAGACGTTTTAAGTTGTTCAAATACTTCATTCAATGGTAAATGTTCCTGTTAAAATAGCATTAAAAAAAAAAAAAAAATGGTTAGTACTAGAAAATGTGAAATGCAAAATGCAAAATGTAGCAACAGTAATGAATTTATAGCAGAGCTTACCAAATCAATGTTGTCACGGTTGAAGTTTTCAGGATCCAACAATGGTTTATCCAGATCCTCAGCCATGATTTAAGCTTGAAAATCTGGAGCTGGCATACAAAATCAAATGCTTCTGGTGAGTACTTAACCCAGAGAATATAAATCAACTAGTTGATATTAAAAAGACATTTATATGTTTGCAACATTCTCTTCCCTAACACCAATGCCCTTCAGATGCAGGGACAAAATAGAGTACCAAAGAATTGCATTGAAATATTTTAACTACATTTGCAAGAAATTGCATCAGTACAGATCAAATTGCATAGTTATGTATTATTTTCTTGTCACATGTTCGGATCACTAATGCTCATTATAAACTCTACTTTTAAAACATCGTAATGATCTACCAATATCATATACTTAGCAACTCTAAAAGCAGCAAAGCATCAGCGAATTTGATATGGTAAACTCAGGGCCTTCAAGTGCAACATCAAGAATCCAGAAATAAATAACTGATCAGATTGCAAATTCAAAAACCCATTTCCAGTTATGTTCATAGTTAAAGAAAGTCAGATCATGCATGCATAAAGATAGAAAAAACAAACAAAAGGATGAATAATTGACTTACTTGAGAGAGAGAGATGGAGGGAAGAGTAGAGGTCCAAGTGTAGTGGTGAATAATAGTAGGAGGATAAAGAAAGTATAGTGAAGTGAGACATGTATAAAAAGATTCATGATGATGATGATGATGATTTGGTGGCTGACTGGTGGTTGGAAGTTCACGACGAACAGCTGAAGCTGAAGCTGATCCTACTACTACTACACGTAAAAAAACAACAGGTGGCGCCATTTTCATTTCAACAAAACAGGAAAGACCGTTGCTAATTAACTACCATTCATAACTTACTCTTCCATACCTAACTGTCTTTCCCTCCAGCTTTTCATATCTATTTAAGCGTAATTACAAAAAAAATCCAGAATATATTTTGGTCTTTATAATAAACCACTCTGGTTTTGGAAATGAAATTCTACCCCTCATTCTAACAGTGAAAAGGGATTAGGCCTCTAACATTGACATGGTTTTGAAAGGAAAGGAAATGGTAATTTCCCAATTGGGCAGAATTTTATCAATGGATTTGGATGGAGTAAGGGTTAAGGTCCAATGTGAGGAACCAGCAGGGGTTATCTGTAAATTTGGAAGATTAAGGGGTTAAAATGAAATATAAATAGGTAGAGAGAAAGTCAAGAGATGGAGAGTTAGAATACATGGTCATGGATGGATGAAACTAAATAAGTGGGTAGCTAATTTTTGAATTTGGTGTGCTGGGAAATGATCAATTATGATTTTCTTGTAGTTCTGTTCATATAAAAAAAATTAAATTAAATTCGGATTTTAGGAGCAGACAGAACATGTGCTAACAAGTGTCGCTTGATCTGGTCAATTGTTTGGTTTATTAATTAATTAATTAATTTCTGATGATTATTTTATGTCTGTCCATTTCCTATAAGTGAATATTTATGTGTGTGTGAGAGAGAGACATGAAATGAGAAAAAAAAAAAAAAAAAAACATATATATATATATATAGTCAGAATTGACATGTGGAATTGTGGATACGTAGCTGCATATCCATCCCAGTATACATTAAATAAACAAATATTCAACTCTTATGAATTTTATTGAAGGAAATGGCAGAATATACAGTTTTGAGTAATGACATAATAGAAAATCAGATAGAACGACTCTTGAGAGCCCTATCTGAGATTGCATGGCCCAAAACTTGCACAAAGGAGCCCAGGACTTCATCTTTGGGCCCAACCAGCTGATCCACCACAATAGTGGACAATCCAATTTTGGATCTATTCTTTTCCTCTACAAATCCAATGTATGTGGAAGTGGAACCCTTCTTGCTCTTCTCTACCCTAGCTTGTCTCTTAGATATCTCTTAGATTATCACTCAATTTTCATTAAAAAAAGATTGTTCATGAGAGAAGATCTTAGCTAGATCTAGAGAGTTATAGATTAAGAGAGTATATAAAAGTGTAATGCTACACCCACAACTTCTTTTCATAAATTTTCTTTCACAATCTTGATGTGACAACTCGTAATTAATCAATTACAATTTATTAGGTGAGACTCAAATGTGACCTATTGTCAATTGACCAATTGAGAATTGTTATGTCAGGGTTGTTAAAAGAAGTTTGTGAGAAGAGGTTGTGAATGTAATATTTTCAGTATATAAAATCAGTTATACTCAAAGGTTTAACTTAATGAATCAATTTTCTAACTATCATCTATCTTAACTCTCCAATAAGGTGTAGTTAACATAATATAATTATATTAATTAGTACCACATATATATGTACTTATTGTCCTAGTACAAACTAGATTTTGTATGTGGTGTCTTCTACTTCACTCCTGAACACATACACTGCATGACTTATAAAAGAAGCTACTCAATAGATAAGGCATGTTCCTGGAAGGAACAGTTGGATCTTCCTACTTCTCCACGTTATTTGTTTTAAAATTGCTACTCCCTTGTTTATGCTTGATTTTAACACCAACGACTCACACGTGCAAAATATTAAGTGAGCTTAAAAATTACACGTGATATAAAAATATACAGTGAGAACATAAATAAGAGGTGGTTTTTAAAGTGGGTTGGATGCTCAAAAGCGAATCCTACGTCTATTGTAGTTATATTAATAAATGATTACAGTCAGGTCACATGCAGCGACCTGAATTACAATCTAGAGAGAATATAGAGAGAGAAAGAGAGAATGTATGCTTTTTAGGATTAAAGATAAGTCAATCCCGTAAATGAGAGATGAGCCATTTATTTATAGTTGGAAGATTCAAGGTAGTAATCATGAGTCTACAATCCAGTAGGTCTGATACAATTCCTAATCTGCTTCTCATTGGTTGTCTGCACGGGAGACAGCCTTAAATTGCGTAAGGCTTGAGCAGGTGGACAATTCTTAGCCACTCAAAAGCTTGGCGTTTACCTGTCGTATTGACGATAGTCATACCTCTTTTGTCATTGCACGACGTGGTAGCGTCTAGACGGTACAAGACCTCTCTGAACTTTGATTGGCCTTTGCTGATGAGATCCCACGCTAGCCTTGACTTTTTAGGCATAACATCCCTAAACCCTAAACCTCAATGCTGTCATGAATGGTCTTGTTATTCAAATGCCAACTTTATTCTAAGGCTACTGCTCAAAGTGTAACGTATAAGGCCTCTCTCTGTGTAGCAAAATTATATATAAACGGAACCATATAATCGCGTTGATGAGGAGTTAAATTAATCAAGTGAACAACCATATCTATGGAGATTGAAGTTGTCTGCATTGACTGTTCTCAAACGTGATACTTAGAAAGTATGAAGATTCAGTATCCACCCACCTGCTGAACTTTGATTTGTCAAGATGATTATCAAACATATCTGCTTCAATATATATATATATATATATATATATATTATCTTGTTGGTTGCAATGCACTTGTTGATTCAAGCACAAAACATCAAGTTATAATTAATATCCTCATAACATCTATTGGAGAAGACACTAAACTAATTGCTACTAATGTATGCATGTAATATTAATGTTATCTTTCTTTGGCACGCACTTACTAGATTGACTTACTTTATTGATGTGACGAGACTCCATTACTAGACAGTCCATTATCACATGCATAGTTTCTTCTTTCATCCAACTACACATACATATATTCTATTTTATGCAAGTCTTTTTCAATGCCATAGAATGAGTTAATAATATATTGTAGCACGCTCGTGTGAGTGTGGGAGAAAGATGGGAGTGCGAGCCACGGCACTTGGATATAGAATGAATCCAACCAAACCAACGTCCGTCCTCAAAATTGAGATAAGCTTGCCGGGATCCTGTTCCCATAACTCTAATCCTTGCCTTGTCTTCATTCAACACACTTCCTCTTTTCATGCTCACCTTTGCCACTTCTCTAATCTATCTTAAACAATTAATAAATCTCCTTTGGTTATCCTCCAACTTACACTAAAATATTGTATTATATTCATTAAGATCCCTTATTTTTAACAGTGGTAGCACAAAGTAGAGTTTTATGTTTTCGCAATATATGTAATTAATGCTTCAAGCCCACGTTCACTCCTTTATAGAAAACTCTGCCGTATTTTCCCATGCAAATTCCCCCGGTTTCGAACCTGACCATGTTCAGCCCCCTCACTTCCTTCATATTCCAGTCAACTTTTCTCGGCTTTTGAGCTTGTAATTTTGCGTGTGTATATATATATGTGCTTTACCCCTCATACCACACGGCTTCAAGCTCTTCAGTGAGCTTTTTTTTCCTTCTCTAATTTGTTTCCAATTCACTACGACATGGTTGAGCATAAGTTACAGCAATACAAGAGTGGAGCCAAGGCTTCTACAAAGAGAAAGGGGCATGGCTTCTCCAGTAAATGTGCTTCCCTAGTTAAAGAGCAACGTGCGCGTATCTACATATTGCGCCGTTGTGCCACTATGCTCCTTTGCTGGTATATTCATGGTGATGACTAGCTAATAATCACTATAATTAATCCCTTTTCTCTAAATTATTCACTTTCTTTTTGTTTCTCCCGTTCTTCATTTCTCCTCCTTTGAATTTGAGTTGGCCTTCTCCATAATGTGTATCCGGTTGGGTTTCATGAGCTACGGTGTAGTTGTTTTATCTACTATTTTCTTCTCTGGTGCAATTCCCTTTTTTTGACCCGATTGAGGCGATGGAATCAGTCAGGTTTTTGGGGACACAGGGTAATTTATGGCTGCACTCGAGCTTTTTCACCAACCGGTCATGAAAATTGATGGAGAAGATGACACTAATTCATTATAAGGAGCGGGACATCTTTTAGTCATATCAAATATCGTTTGTTTGTGGCTGTTGCTGTTGCTGTTGATTGTAATTAACTTGGTGTACATCCATTATCGCTTGTTTTTATTGTTTCTTTTTTTCAGAGTAACATGAGAGGTGTTATAAACTGAAAATGTTAATGGAGTGAATCACTTCAATATTGTATTACTATTAATGGCTGTTGCAATAATACGGGCTCTATTTATTTATATGTATGGACTGTTACTTATATTGAGAAAGCACAATCACAATTTTGTTTGCCGACTAATCTATGGAAATATTAGATGAAATTTCACAATTAAAGATGCAATTACAGGAAGACGTGCATATATTATAGCAGTGATAATGCATGATCTGACTCACACGATTGATGTACTAATACTGGACACAGTTTAGATCTATACCATTACCATTACGCGTATCCCGGTGCATGTTATCTGGCAGATCAACACAGACTTTAATATTTTCTATCACATTACATTATGATAATGCCTCTGCAACCAAGCAAAAAACAAGAGATTGTCAAATTAGAAGGCAACGTGGGCAAACTTCAAAGATATTTTATATATTTCAACTTAACCACAGCTTGGTGCTTTTGTCTTGTTATGTATGTCAAGATTTTAGGCTTATCTTATGCTTATAAATTTAAAGATATCTGTCTGTCATTCGCTTTAGGTTCGACGAACCTTAAAGAGTTATATACGAAGGCAATTTGTCTTCCTATGTGAAGATACAATGTTACTTTATCACATTATCGCACCATATAAAAGACATATATCTCGGGATTATGACTTAGGAATTATATATTACCAAATACACTGAAAATAGTAAGAAAAATATTATATCTATAACCTCTTCAAACAAACTTCCTCTCACAATCCCGACATGATAACTCACAATTAATCATTTCGTAATAGATCTTATTTGGCTCCCGCCTAATAAATTACGATTGACCAATTGCGAACTGTCAAAATTGTGAAAGAAAATTTGTGAGAAGAGATCATGGATGTAGCATTACTCAAATAGTAAATGTCAATTAATTAATACAAACTCTTAACGTATAAGGCCTCTCTCTGTGTAGCAAAATTATATATAAACGGAACCATATAATCGCGTTGATGAGGAGTTAAATTAATCAAGTGAACAACCATATCTATGGAGATTGAAGTTGTCTGCATTGACTGTTCTCAAACGTGATACTTAGAAAGTATGAAGATTCAGTATCCACCCACCTGCTGAACTTTGATTTGTCAAGATGATTATCAAACATATCTGCTTCAATATATATATATATATATATATATATATTATCTTGTTGGTTGCAATGCACTTGTTGATTCAAGCACAAAACATCAAGTTATAATTAATATCCTCATAACATCTATTGGAGAAGACACTAAACTAATTGCTACTAATGTATGCATGTAATATTAATGTTATCTTTCTTTGGCACGCACTTACTAGATTGACTTACTTTATTGATGTGACGAGACTCCATTACTAGACAGTCCATTATCACATGCATAGTTTCTTCTTTCATCCAACTACACATACATATATTCTATTTTATGCAAGTCTTTTTCAATGCCATAGAATGAGTTAATAATATATTGTAGCACGCTCGTGTGAGTGTGGGAGAAAGATGGGAGTGCGAGCCACGGCACTTGGATATAGAATGAATCCAACCAAACCAACGTCCGTCCTCAAAATTGAGATAAGCTTGCCGGGATCCTGTTCCCATAACTCTAATCCTTGCCTTGTCTTCATTCAACACACTTCCTCTTTTCATGCTCACCTTTGCCACTTCTCTAATCTATCTTAAACAATTAATAAATCTCCTTTGGTTATCCTCCAACTTACACTAAAATATTGTATTATATTCATTAAGATCCCTTATTTTTAACAGTGGTAGCACAAAGTAGAGTTTTATGTTTTCGCAATATATGTAATTAATGCTTCAAGCCCACGTTCACTCCTTTATAGAAAACTCTGCCGTATTTTCCCATGCAAATTCCCCCGGTTTCGAACCTGACCATGTTCAGCCCCCTCACTTCCTTCATATTCCAGTCAACTTTTCTCGGCTTTTGAGCTTGTAATTTTGCGTGTGTATATATATATGTGCTTTACCCCTCATACCACACGGCTTCAAGCTCTTCAGTGAGCTTTTTTTTCCTTCTCTAATTTGTTTCCAATTCACTACGACATGGTTGAGCATAAGTTACAGCAATACAAGAGTGGAGCCAAGGCTTCTACAAAGAGAAAGGGGCATGGCTTCTCCAGTAAATGTGCTTCCCTAGTTAAAGAGCAACGTGCGCGTATCTACATATTGCGCCGTTGTGCCACTATGCTCCTTTGCTGGTATATTCATGGTGATGACTAGCTAATAATCACTATAATTAATCCCTTTTCTCTAAATTATTCACTTTCTTTTTGTTTCTCCCGTTCTTCATTTCTCCTCCTTTGAATTTGAGTTGGCCTTCTCCATAATGTGTATCCGGTTGGGTTTCATGAGCTACGGTGTAGTTGTTTTATCTACTATTTTCTTCTCTGGTGCAATTCCCTTTTTTTGACCCGATTGAGGCGATGGAATCAGTCAGGTTTTTGGGGACACAGGGTAATTTATGGCTGCACTCGAGCTTTTTCACCAACCGGTCATGAAAATTGATGGAGAAGATGACACTAATTCATTATAAGGAGCGGGACATCTTTTAGTCATATCAAATATCGTTTGTTTGTGGCTGTTGCTGTTGCTGTTGATTGTAATTAACTTGGTGTACATCCATTATCGCTTGTTTTTATTGTTTCTTTTTTTCAGAGTAACATGAGAGGTGTTATAAACTGAAAATGTTAATGGAGTGAATCACTTCAATATTGTATTACTATTAATGGCTGTTGCAATAATACGGGCTCTATTTATTTATATGTATGGACTGTTACTTATATTGAGAAAGCACAATCACAATTTTGTTTGCCGACTAATCTATGGAAATATTAGATGAAATTTCACAATTAAAGATGAAATTACAGGAAGACATGCATATGTTATAGCAGTGATAATGCATGATCTGACTCATACGATTGATGTACTAATACTGGACACATTTTAGATCTATACCATTACCATTACCATTACCATTACGCGTATCTTGGTGCATGTTATGTGGCAGATCAACACAGACTTTAATATTTTCTATCACATTACATTATGATAATGCCTCTGCAACCAAGCAAAAAACAAGAGATTGTCAAATTAGATGGCAACTCGGGCAAACTTCAAAGATATTTTATATATTTCAACTTAACCACAGCTTGGTGCTTTTGTCTTGTTGAATATGCCAAGATTTTAGGCTTATCTTATGCGTATAAGTTTAAAGATATATATAGTTCTTGTTACACATAAATCTTAACATTATAAAGATATGATTATAATAACATAATGATAAAGATATCTATCTATCATTGGCTTTTGGTTCAACGAACCTTAAAGAGTTATATACGAAGGTAATTTGTCTTTCTATGTGAAGATACAATGTTACTTATCACATAATCTCACCATATAAAAGACATATATCTCGAGATTATGACTTGAGAATTATATATTACCCAATACACTGAAAATTGTAAGAAAAATGTTACATCCATAACCTCTTCTTACAAACTTTCTCACACAATCCCGACATGATAACTCACAATTAGTCATTTAGTAATAAATCTTACTTGAGTCACATCTAATAAATTACGATTAACCAATTGCGAACTGCATGTCAAAATTGTGAGAAGAGATTATGAATGTAACACTACTCAAATAGTAAATGTCAATTAATTAATACAAACTCTTTGGATGGTTCAGCTGTGTTCAGAAAATATTCCGACTTATAAATGGTACAAAGATTGTCTACATCACATCAGTAAGCTTAGAAAGATCTTCAGCTGTCAAGCTGTTTCCAAAATACATATATGATCATATTGGTCAAAAATCAACATTACACCACTGTAATAAGATTTACCATCTTCAATTTCAACATAGGCAGCTAATGTTGGGATGATTTCAATTTATGTTGAATCTGGAAACCACTTGGGCATGATCAATTTCGGATCTTCATTTCTGACATCATATATCAATCCAATCCTTGAACAGCAACATCATGTAGAGAGAAATATTAACTGCAGCAATGAATGTAAGCATTCGGAATGTACGGACTAATCTGGTGATTATGAAATTCGTCTTTGATTTACTTGTTTTAGGAGGTAATTTTGTCGTAGGATCATCCACACTCATGTCCATGTTCTTACATACCTCTATCTCTTGAGAAACATTTTTGCGGGCTGTAGATCGCATTACAGCATTACCCCTGCCACAATTAATTATATAACTAATAAGAAATTGAAAAAAAAAAAAAATGATAATGGAAAAGTAATAGACGAGCATATACAAGATCATACCTACATCCGTGCAATAATTCATAATATATATGCATTTACTTAATTATCATTACGTCTAATGAATTTTAAAATGAATGCATATGTGAAAAAACTTGATCAATCTGTAATACTGTATATAGATGATATAGTATATCAGTCTACAACCAGTAATCTGTGAAAACACTTGTCATAACTAATGGTAGTATATACGAGATTGTGGCGTTGAAGCACCTTTCTATTGTCCCTCTGTCACTTGAATGCGAAATTGCTGTACTTATGGGTTTCTTAATAAGATGCATTGATCCTTCTACATCCCAAATCATTTCGTACTCACAAAGCTCATCTTCATTTTTCTCTTTAGTCCCACCTTTAAAAATGTTGCAACTCATCAGTTTTTGGCTATACTCCACTAAATCACTATAGCGGAGCCAAAAACCCAGACCACTAGTTGGCCAAACAAGGAGAGCAAAAAGGGTCAGAATAAATAGCGAAAGATACCTGACATAATCAGCAAATGGAGATTAGAACATGACCTAGATTGTTTTAATATTAATAATGAACATTTTTAATCATGAAATTGGAAAGGTACCATATATAAATGTGTGTTTGCTTTGGAAGAAAACAGAGATGAGTAGACACCGCTTCTTCCGGACTGCTTGTGCCTAAAAGAGCTGCCTTGCTAACAGATAATAGCATAAAAGATGGATACAAATTTCCCTGCTGCCAACTTATGGTCCCTACAGTGTGCTGAACACTACTATGAATTAAATTTCATTCCTCAGTAAAATTTATATAATTCAAAACATCAGGTGCTTACCTCCTTTATCGGCCCAAATTTTGATTTATGGATCACTGTACACTGATCATGATCATGACCAGATAAAACGAGCACCTGCAAAACTCAAATTATTTCTGGGCAGATCACTACATAGATTAATCACTGATACATCTTGGATGGTCCCCGGCTCACAGGATGTATAAAATAGAGGTAAAGAGAACTTACAGGTTTGATCAAGTCCAGTAAGTGGTTTGATGATTCCTCTGTGATGTAATTTTGGTACCTGTATCATCAGATTGTTGCATTGAACACTCTAGCCACCAGTACATATAATGTAACTCTGGAGTGCCCGTTACACAAAAAGAAGGAAGAAGCTTACAGTATTTGTTGACCAGGACCAGTCCGCAAGATCCGCTGAACATGAAAGAAGCCGACTCATGTATTTAAGTTCAAATACTGACAGCAGCATAACTATTCATAGAGAAATTCCTTACACTACTGTGGATTACAACAATGCACTTTAAGCATGCATAAAGAGCATATTTTTCCTAAACACCCTTACTAAATAAAAAATGAAAAAGAAAATACCTGATTGATGACAGGGGAATTACGATGAGGGCCACAAGGAGTCCAATCCCTCCGGTACAATGGAATATGCATCAATAAAACCCTTGGAAGCGATTGAACATCTAGAGAAATGTGAAATATATATATATATATGAACTACAGTTTTGTTAAGGACAACAGCTTAACAATACACAGATGCAAGAGTCAATGTTGTATACCTACAGATACATTTTTTATAAAATCCCATGTTTCAGAAGTCAGCTGTCCTTCTGGATGTCCTGCAACCACATACCTCTTGCCTTATTTCTTAAGATTCATTATTTTAAATCATTTTCTACAGAAATCAACTTAGACCCATTAAAAAGCCATTAGTTAAAGTAACTCACTCTGAATGCTATATAAAACAACGTGGACTGATTGATATATCTAAAGACAAAAAATCATCATCATATTGGACATATTTACTTTTTATGCTTTGAGCACAATTAACAATGATAAAAGAAGAAAATACAATATAGTCTACCAACAAATATAGTATTCTTCTAATTCTAAAGCTTCATGAATGGCATATGCCCCAAACAACAAAAACCAATCTTATTCAACAGTTCACATAAGATTTAAAGAATAAATGTAAATTTTTTGATTTGGCACCCCAGGCCTTACAAATTTTAAAAATTCATACAAGAAAATAGCAATTTCATCCTACAGTTATTTTTCTATTTTTGGCGCCCCCTATTTGTTAAACTTTACACTGTCCTATTAAATAATACACTTTGGCTCTCTCAAACATAATATCCTGGTTCTGCCACTGCCTGCAATTGGTAATTTTGATCAAATTACCCAGAAGCATGCACATCCACCTTAATTGAAGTGTGGTAGAAAAACAAATTTTTTTACCTCAATGCAATTCGCTCTTTCAAATGTAACTAAATTTATCTTTTACATTTCTCTAAATGGTATTGTCATTTCCAACATTAAAGTATAAAATGATATTTTGAAGAGCAAAATTAAACCGTAAATAGCTTTTTTGTTCTTCATATCCTAGGCAAACAGAATCACATAAAATCAATGTTAGGTAGGAGACAACACAAGAGGTTTGAAGCCAACACCACGAATGCTCATACATTAAATGTTTGTGTTGTTCCAAAACGATTTACAATGTTTGGTTTCAACAGAGTTAGCTACATAAAAGTACAACTTCGCCCAACCATTGATACATTTGTCTAATAAAGAAACAGAAAATAATAAAAGAAATCCAAAAAAGACAACAGATCAAGACAATATGAAGATTAGTTGACTAGTCTATTAATATTTAAAGGAATTGTCTTGGCAATCATATGCAGTGCCATGTTCAAGATTTTAAACATAATTTCCCGACTGCTTCCAGATTTTAAAGGAATTATCTTAGCAATCATAAGAACAATAGTTACTGTTTCCAGAAACATTAGAAAAACACATACGACTTCAGGGAATTTCACAAATTGTTATTGTAAAAGATCCACACAAAACATAAGAAAGAATAAACCAAATCAAAATTTTCAACTAGAACTTTTGTTGTTATTCTAGTGTCATGTTAATGTATCTATAGTTGAGCAGACAAAAAGGTGGAGATATAACACATAAAGAAGATTCAGCAGCTTCTTAATTTACCATCTAAAGTTTGAGCATCGACAGAAATGAACTCGACTTTTCCAACTGTAAATCGGAAGTTTCTCTTCCCAAATATGTTTTCATAGCGTCTTATAACCTGTAAACATGTAAAACTACAACTTGATGAACAATTAAAAAGTCAAGCTTAGAAACTAATGAAGTTATGTAAAAGTGCATCTACTTTTATCTCACATGAGGCAAAATTAATTGCACACACACACACACACACACATAACAAAACTTAACTCAACTCAATACATTTCTTAAACCAGCAACTTCCAACAAATTCTGGAAAAATGTATGGTAATGCATGCAGATAACCCTATAAAAATGTTCCAAAACCTTCCATATTCATAATTTTGTATCATATCGGCATTGTGGAAATCAACTGTGCTCTGTTTTATGGAGTTTCAATTACCTCTGGTTTGTGAGAGTGAAGACTTGAATAACCAATATCATGATTTCCTGGAAGGTAGTAAACTGGGATGTCCTTATATCTTGCTTGATTTTTGAAACCGAAGATATGGTTAAAGCGGCTCAAAGATTCCTGCCATCTAATCAAGGTATTAAATGGATCATAATAAAAATAATAATAATAATAATAAAAACAAAGTGAATTTTCAAGCACAAGTTGAAAAGTCCAGGTCACTTACTCTACATCTGACAAATAAGGACCCCCATCAAAGTAATCGCCCAAAAACAAAATGACATCAGGCTTGAAAGGTAGGACAGAGGCTAAGAAGGCCCTGCGCATAAACAGATCAGTGTAGAACTGTGCCAACCCGAGAGCAAGTGATTTTGGTGGTAGATTATGGGAGGTTTTATCCATGAGCTGTTAAAAATATCAAATTTTAGAGAGAGTCCAAAAATGAATAAATAAAGTAGCAATAGGAGGCAAATTGACCTGTGGATCTGCAAGAACAGCGACTTTAACAAAATCACCAGATGCATTTATCCGAAGCTGCAAATAGAAGAAGCATTAGTAATCATATGAAGGGTATCTAAGAGGTAAAACAAAGGGTATGGAATGATTACCGATGAATTAGTAGAAGAAGAGGATGAATCTGGTTGTGACCAAGAACAAGAGTAGAGAAACGGAAGCCAAAATGCAAACATCTCGCCATAGAGAAGCGTGAGCACCCAGGTCAAGCATAGCACTACCGTCACCTTCTGATGCTGCTTCATCACTATCTTTCTTTCTTTCTCTCTTTGCTCTAACTTCGCATCCATCATTCCATCTTTTATCTATATAAGTTTGGTCGACGGTAAACTTCACTTTCAAGTGTTCTACTCTATATAAACGTTGTCACCTTTTACCCTGAAACGGGCCGGTGGGGTTGAAGTTGAAAAAATCAACTTGAGAGAATTAGAGAAATTTTCGGGAGTCGGTTGGGAACTGTGCAAAATTCAAGGGAGCTTATCTGTGCCTTTAGAGTATGTTAAATTTACTTCTTTTAAAAACATTACTACTTCATTCCGGTCAGTGCCTATTACATGTTTGTTAATATACCTAAACTGCTAAGCTCTACTGTATGCTCCAAACGTAATTAAATTTGTTAGTTTTGCTTTTTTTAACTCTCTATATCTCTGTACACTCATCATTAAAATTGTTTGCCACTTCCATTTCCTTCTGTTATAATTTGTGTATTGTATTTAAACTCCTTATAAACTCGATGTTAGCACAAAAAGCATCAGAAGTGATGATTTCAGGAATGGATATCAGCCATTTATTGGTAGAAACCAGATATTTTAAGTACTCAACCTTATCACCTCATAATTTGGCGTGCTAAAACAAGACTTCATGTCCCTGAAGAGACTTGGAACATAATTGATTCCAGCATGAGCAGGTTTACCTTGCTGTCTATCTGGCGATCTTTATGTGATAACCTGATTAGCCTTTTAAAATGAGGTTGAGATATTTATTGCCAATATTTTGGATTCTCTTGTAGGAGGTAGCTGTTGGTGATAATTGACAATAGCTTGAGCAAAAAGAAATATGGCTATGCCTTGGTTGTAGACATAGATAGAAAAGATGGTAAATTGTAGTTTTCACATACAACGAGTTGACAAGTGTTTAACCATTCAGTCATAAATGGTATGACCACCAAGTCCATGTAAAATATAGGGATAGGAGGAAAAGCTCAAAAGCTTCCTTGAACTCAAGTTCTTCCTTTGTACATCACTAAAGCAAAATTATATGATTAATTACATTTACATTGGTGGAATGAAGAGAAAATTTGCTTTAATAAATCCATATATCCTGTGCAAGAGTATATCACATATCTGTGCCGAGGGGCATTATCTAACAGCCTTTGTTTTCATTTCTGTGGGTTACTCCTACATTCTTTAGCCACTCAACAACTTCCTTGATCGTTGGTCTCTTGGAAGGGTTTTGGCTTACGCACATGCAGGCAACGTCTAGCACCTGCAACATCTCTTCATCAAAGCCCTTTCCTCTGATGATAGGATCGAAGACCTGATCTTGTTTGCCCTCGCTTCTCATTTGCTGCACCCACCCAACCAATTCTCTCGACAGCTTTGGCTTGAATACCTCCACAGGCCTCTTCCCGGTGAGCAGCTCAAGCATGACAACACCAAAACTGTACATGTCTCCTCTCAAAGTGGCTACCCATGCTTGCCCATATTCTGGAGGAATGTAGCCCAAGGTACCAACAAGCTCAGTTGTAACTTGTGTGTGATAAGGAAGAATCAATCTTGACAATCCAAAATCTGCTAGGTGTGCTTCAAACTTGTCATCAAGAAGGATGTTGCTAGACTTGATGTCACGATGCACTATGTGTGGCTCACATATCTGGTGCAGGTAAGCGAGCCCACAACTTGTTCCCCTTGCAATTTTCAGCCGAGTTGGCCAGTCTAACTGAGATGCACCATCAGGTTTCTCATGCAGCCAGTAATCCAAACTTCCGTTCTCCATGTAGGAATATATTAGAAGCCGATAACCTTCATGCACACAATAGCCTTGCAGAGAAACCAGGTTCTTGTGTTGTGCAGTGGACAGAGCCTCCACCTCTGCTCTGAATTCCCTTTCCATCAGACCCAAGTCTCCAGAGAGTTTCTTAACAGCTAGCTTGGTCCCATTTGCCAGTGTTGCTTTATAAACCAAACCAAAACCCCCACAGCCAACGATGTTGGCTTGACTGAAATTATCAGTGGCTTTCAAGAGTTCGGATATTGTAAGATCTTTGACTTCATTAGTATTGTTTTGGAACAATATGACTAAGCTAGTATCCTTGTCAACCTCAGGAGAAACCCCAAAATTAGAATTGCTAGAAATAGCATCCCATTCAACCTTGTCAGGGTCCCCTCTTGGAATGATCCTTCTCTTGGAGAGTATCAACAATGCTAACATAGTAATTATTAAACCAGTGCCAAAGCAGATACCAATGACTAGTCCAACAAGAAGTTTTATGTTTGTGCTTTTATGAGATGCAGTAGGAGGGGTGGGACCTGGTGGATTAGGGCAAGAGCGTTGCACAATTGAACCACACAATGATGGGTTCCCATCAAAGCTCGAGGATAGGAAGGTATCAAACTGACCTCCAGAAGGAATCGGTCCTTGAAGATTATTTGCTGCCACATTGAATGAAGACAAGAAGTGAAGACTCCTCAGTGATGTAGGGATCTCTCCAGATAGACGGTTTACAGAAAGGTCCAATATCTCCAAGTTAGTGAGATTTGATAGTCCATCGGGAATGTTGCCAGAGAGCTTGTTTTGACTAAGGTCCAATACATGAAGAACTTTCAATTGGCCGATCTCAACTGGTATACTTCCAGTGAGGCTGTTGTTTCTCAGGTATATAGCTGGTGGCAGGTTTGATAGCTGATTGTACTGCTGATTGGTTGCATTGTTGGGCATAACAAATACAGGCAACTCTAGATAACTTCGGTCCACTTTATCATTAGCCTCTTGAGATGCTAGCGCAGTCAATCTTGTAAGATCCTTGGGGAATTCTCCTGACAGGAAGTTCTGAGAGAAATCTATGTAGAAAAGGTTTGTTAAATTACCCAACCAACCAGGAATCGAACCTGAAATTCGATTTACAGACAGGTCCAAGACCTCAAGTTTCTTGAGTTTAGCTAGCCAGTTGGGCACTTGACCAGTAAATTGGCAACCACCCAGTCCCAAAACCTGAAGATTTTGGAATCCATCAGAGGCCACTAAATTTTCATCATGCGGTATTGGTTCATTAAAGAAGTTCTTTGACATGATGAAAGTAGTGAGATTCTTGCAGCCCATTGGATTCCTTATTGCCCCAGTTATATTGGTTAAGCGGTTGTTAGAAACAGAGAGGAAAGAAAGAGATTGCAGTGCAAGTATATCAGGCAAAATCTGTCCCTCTAGCTGGTTACTTGCCAGTCTAACAGCAGTCAGAGACTTGCATGAATAAAGACTTGGTGGCAAGATACCTGTAAACTGATTATTACCAAGGTCAAGGGTGTTAAGATAGATGAGTGAGGAGAAATTAAAGGCAGAAAGATTTCCTTCCAAATTGTTGACCCGCAAATTTAATGTTGTGAGTTTGATGCAGTTCATGAGAGATGGAGGCAGAGAACCAGTGAGGTTATTAATGTGAAGGAGAAGTTTTTCCAAGTTGGAGAGCTTACCAATATCCTTGGGGATCAAGCCAGTGAATTCATTAGAATAGAGCTCAAGGACTCTGAGGTTGGAGAGATTGACGATGGAATCATGAATGGGTCCAGAAAGGTGATTGATTGCTAAGGAAAGTTGTTGCAGTGAGGCAATACTGTAAATGTGTCGAGGAACTGCTCCTGAGAGATTGTTGAAACCTGCTCGAAGGATCTCCAACTGGGAACACTGGCCTAGTCCAGAGGGAATTTGATTACTGAAATCATTGTAAGAGAAATCCAACTGTCTGAGGGAGCGTGAAAAATCAGAGCATAAATAAGAAGGGATTGGGCCTGTGAAACTATTGTTGCTGATATTAAAAGTGGTGAGACTCCAAGCTGTCTGGAGGAATGAAATAGATGGGATTGACCCCTCAAAATAATTGCTGGACAAATCCAAATTTTGGATGTCAATAGCAGTGATATTATTGTCCAAGTGGTTGGTTGGTAATTGACCAGAAAGAAGATTGAAACTGAGATCAAGAACGAGGAGGTGATTGAGGGAGAAGAAGAAAGAGGTGGGGATTCGACCAAAGAGGCGATTATGTGAGAGATCAAGGTGAGAAAGGCGGGTGAGGTTTGCAAGAGAAGGGGAGAGAGTGGCAGTGAGGCCTCTAAAGGGTAGACGGAGATGGGTGACACGACCATCTTCAGCATCACAATCAACTCCATCCCATAGACAGCAGTCAATAGAAGAAGACCAATTCAACGAGGATGATGATGATGATATGTTTGAAAAGAAAGACAAGAGAGAGTCACGATCATTTTGGTTGCAGGCCACAGCAGCGTAGCAAGGACAGAATAATTGTAATTGTATAACTAGAAGTAGAAGAAACAATAAGACCCTGTTTTGAGGCATGGAGGAGGAGGAGGAGGAGGAAGCTCTCGGTCTTGTTATTGGTAGATTTAGAGCAGCAGCACCGCCGCAGGCTTCTTTATCAAGTATCATCATCTTGTAAAAACAAGTGGAGCAATAAGACATCAAAGAGTTGAAAAAAGAAGGTGAGTGCATGGTTCATTATCGGGTGTGGGCAACCTTGTACAAGATTAGAAATTGCAGTAAACCCCTCATTGACTCTTCAGAGAGAAAGAGACAGAGAGAGAGAGTGCGTGCGTGCGTGTGTGACGTTGAGTAGTTGATATTATAATGGGCAATATTAAAAAACAAAAAAATAGGAAGGTGGTATAGTTATTATTATTATTATCACCATTATCATTGAAAAATAAGAATTTTTATGAGCGTTTACTTTTGAGGGTGGCTGGTAGTGGTAGTGGTATTTGTAGTGGTGGTGGACTTTTTCTGGGATGATGATTGATGGATTGATGACCAAAGGGAGAAGGCGTGTTGATAGTTACTGTGATAAACATCCCATACCAATTTTCTATTCTTTTATTTACGCCTGTGCTGTTGGTGGCAACTCCAACTACTGCCCCATATTCTTTAATTAAACTCTTGGAGAACACAACACCATCCATCCTTGGTGTAATTTGATATTTAAACATAACAAAATTCAACTGACCTGGATGACACTTCCTCAGTTTCATATATTAACCGTTACCCAAGAGTGGTGATCAAATATATGTTGGCTTGGTGTTGGTTGGGTGGTCTGAGAAACAAAAATTAATAAAGAAGTCGGCATTTACAAAAAGAAATGTCTACAGCTGGAAGAGAGATTATTAGTTTATAATAACCAAGAAAAGAAGGGCTGGATCATGGGTGCATTACAGTATCCCAGGGGTCAGGACCTTTGTTGGATCATTGTTTCTTCCTGGAAGGCCACAAAACCTGCTAAGCCTGCAGCTCCAATGATGAAGAAACCAAAATGACAAGTTCATGAACCAGACAAAAATCATAAAATGCTAATTGCTCCAGTACTTGATGCGGGAATAATTGCCTCAAGATTTGAACTCAAGAGATCTAACTTACCAGGTCTATTGCTAAATCAGCAGAACATATGTTGGTTGTTGCTTGAGGTAAAGTAAACAGGTGTACTTTGTTATATGAAATCCTCTATTTGCCTTCATGATAAATCAGTTCAAAAGCTAGAATGCCATCAGTAAATAGGAGTACAAATCATCCATTCAATCACATTTTCTCATTTACTTTCATGCCTCCCAATGCAGAGCCAATAAGAACCACACATTCAATTTTATCGAACTCTTCATTGACTTATTCTGTAATTCCACCATCCGCAAAGGCTTTCTTGCCAGCAGCGAGAATATAAAGCATGAATTTGTTTGCCCTCTTAGCATCTTTTGGTGATAAGCAATCAACCATCTACTGAGAGAGACTTGATCTTTCCAACGACTCTCTATTAGAGTAAGAACAATGTTGTAAACAAGGTAAAATGAAATTGGAAAAACTAAAAGGCATACAGTGGGAAACATTGAACAATCAAAGCCCTCTATCTCACTTAAGTCACTGACACTTTAGAAATTTTATAATCTGACTTCTAGTAATTTAATTAAGGTTAAATCTATCAAAACAGAAAATAAATTTGAAAGTGAGAGAGGAAAATCAATTAGGTAGGGGCTAGAAATGACTTCCTTGTAATAAATAGTAAATAGCCAATACCCGCCAAGCGGTGGTTGTATCCCAATGGCAAACAGATACAATTGGGTCATGCCTATTTGTTGGGCTTTGTTGGACTGCTACAACTAGAAATGGGCACCGGTCGGGTTGGGTCGGGGCTGGGGAATGGGGTCCCCGTCCCCATCCCCATCTTCGAGTTAGGGGTGTCGGGGAATCTCCTTCCCCGACCCACGGAGATGGGATGGGATGATCCCCCGTACCCTATCCGGGAAGAAATTCCCCGCGGGAAACTTTCCCCCGTGAATGGGTACTAATCCCCGTCGGTCAATTTCTAATTTTCGCTAACATCTTAATTCTTAAAAAGTCACGATGAGGAATTTGCAACTATCATGAGTCCAACAATTATTCAAATACCCAAAATAAATAAAATAAAAACTAGAAAATGGCTATTAGTCTTCCATAAGACATAACCTACATTTAGAACCTTTTGTTATAAAAATCCCAAAATATCATTACACTTTACAAGCCATATTTATATACCCATAAGAATATATAAAAAATATATATATAATAACATTTGTGGAAACTTTCTTTCAAATTAGTGCAAAGTCCAGAGAGTAAAAGTATCAAACTACAAGCGAAAGCCAATGTCATAACCCAACTACAACCTGTAGATTGCAGAACATCACAAGTTCACAAAAGTACAAAATTTTAATTGCACATTTCGCATACACCCAAAATCCCAACTAAATAGCCATCGCAAAATGGCAATTTACACACACCCAAAATCCCAACAAAATAACACAACTAGTTATACAATTACAAAGTCCCAAAACCCAGACACCGCACCAAGAAGCTTCACTTTCATCATAAATCTGTCTTTTTAATTTCCTGTTAAACAATAAAAATTTATAGTTAAGTTAATATGTTATATAGAGTAGTATTATATTTTATTGAAATGACTAAAGAAAAAAGAAAGAAAATCCTTCCTCAACTCTACCGCACCTCATTGTCTGCATCATTGTCACATAAATTTTGGAACAAGTATTTTCACCTGACATAAGAATAAATAAACATTAATGATTAAAAAATCGTAATCAGTTTTTTTTTAATCTTTATTCCATTGAAGAAATCAAAATTTTATTTGATTATCTTCTATATCAACCCATAACCATTCTTGGGAACACATCAATGCTTGTAATGTATCAGAATGTATTCTGTTGCGATGCGAACTCACTACTTTGCCTGTAGTGCTAAATGCTGACTCAGAAATAACAGTGGACAAAGGAATTCCAAGGATATCTTGAGCAATCCTTTGTCGAGTAGGATATTTAAACCCATTTGACTTCCATCAACACAATATATCGAAGTTAGGAGTTCTAGGCACAAGGTTCTCCTCTAAGTAACATTCCAACTTTGACTTTCCATGGCCATGGGAACAAGTGAATTTTTTCTTCGTAATCACAACTAAAGTATCCAACATCCTCTGACGACCACTAGAATTAGGAACATCGGACTGAGAAGAAGTTGTAGATGACGAGGGTTGAGGTTCACAACTTCTGTGTTTAGATTGGTACTCAAAAACCAAATCACTAAATAATTCTAGAACCCTCCTAATCTCATGTGGACCATCATCTTCTCCATAGATAATGGGAAAGACTACATCTATCAACTTCAGTTTATATCTAAGATCAAGACAATTGCAACCGCCATAACACCATGAATCACATTCCAATATTTGGAAAACTTTTTGTCCATTCGTGCTGCCATATTCATTATCACGACATTTTCACATGTAAGCCATCTAGACAACTCCATTCTAATTTCACAATTCTCGGGAAAATAAATGTTGGCGGTGGGATATTTAGTTCCAAAGAATAAGAGTGTGGTGTTGTAAAATATTTTTAACTTTTCAATAATGTTCTCTGCCAACTCCCATTCTTCCTCACTTGGCAAACATCTATACTATGGCTCCTGATGCTTTAAACGAGGAAATACTTCTTTATAAATAAAAGTTGTTTCAAGCATCAAATATGTTGAGTTCCAACGCGTCTTGCAATCTAGAGCCAACTTCTTGGTACTTCCGATCCTTGTTTGACATGCCACTCCATCAAATTTTTGCTCCCTTTTAGGCGATGTTGTCCAATAAGCAACACTCTCATAGATTTTTGCTATGGCTTCTCCAATAACTGATAAGCCATCTTGAACAATCAAATTTAGAATATGCGCACAACAACGCATATGAAACATATCACCATGCAACATAAGGGAGGAACGTGTAACTTCTCCCAATATATCTTGGACAACTGCATCTTAGTGGAGCAACTATCAACCAAAACAATCTATCAAAGCAGCTGTAAGCACATCTCTATTATGGGGACAACGCCTATGTACAAATCTACAATATAAATAATACATAATTCAGTCATTAATATAAATGAAAAAATCAATGAAGAAATAAGAATATAAAACTTAAAAATACAATACCTTAGAAGTCAACTTTGTACTATATCCTTTGTTTTGATTACTGGCAGTCTATAAATTAGAAGTTATAGCAATTCTACCCAAATTCTTGTTTAACAACTTCATTGTCTTCTCCTTTTCAACCTCATAAATCTCCATAATATCCTTCCTAATATTTCTCCTAGAGACAACCTTGAACAACAGTTGAATAGTGCTGCAAAATGTTCTAAACCCTGAATGGTCAACCATGCTAAGCAAATACTTATGTAGAATTATCATTCTCGCAAGCTCCTTTCTCCTTGCGTCTTGATCAAATTGGTAATTTTCTAATGTCTTATTTGATCCCTCTTTTTGGACTCGTACAAGCATTTTTTGTGATACATCTTAGTACCTTTGCTTGGGACAAATTCTATGATGACCATGCAAATGTTTTGTCCTGTTTTTAGAACCACCTACAAGTTGTTTACAACAATAGTTACACTCCGCCTTGCCCTTGCCTTCTACTTTTACTTTCATCAAATGTAACCATACAGTTGACTTAGTCTTTCCACTTCCGACAGGGATTGAAGAAGGAGTATTTGAACGCATGGTTCGGTTACTTCAGTACCTTCATCAACTGAGAATTGCAATTGGTCACTATCATCAACTAGAGTTGGCATTTGGGAACTCAGAATTGATATCTTTTTTGATGACTTGGAATTATGATTGACCTTCTCATATGGACTCTTTCTTTTGCTAGGTAAAGAGTATTGAATGGACATGGTGAAACCTAAAAGAGTACAACATAAAACACCAACAAAAACATCAAGAATAAGCATGCTTAGGCACCAAGTTTTATACAAACTACGCTGGACATAGTAGAAAGGGTAAATATTACAATGAAATATAAAAAGCTAGGTTTGAAATGAATAATGCCTGATGGAAATGACAAACCTATCTACCCTCATCCAAACTTTATCAATATAAAACCTAAAAAGTATTACTTCTAAGCCTTAGATTCTTTCCCCTAATATCATATAGTTGCTAGCATATTAAATCCATTAATCAGCCAAATTAATATTACTGTCCTGCAATTAATATTGTAAGGCATAGTACAAACAAAGTTGCTTTTGTAAATAAAAATTACTTGAAAAACAAAATTTTCTCATTATTGGCAAATCACCTGGTGGTGAGGAATTTACTAGTTTTATTAAGGCAGCAATGACATACATCAAATTTCATTCCATGTTCAGCTCATCATTGTCAATGGCCTTGGAGGAGGCAGATAGGTTTCAAAGGCGATAGAGAGGAAAATAAAAAATGTGTTTCAACGGCGGCAGAGGAAAAGGAAAATGACAAAATGTGTTTCAGCGGCGGTAGAAAAAAAAAGGAAAATGTGTTTCAGCAGTGACAGGGGAAAAGGAAATCAGTTTGGCTAAATGTTTAGGGCGTAGTCGCATAGAGATGGGCGTTGGGGCGGTAGAGGAAAAGGAAATCAATGAAAAAATCAATATCTCTTATGATTAACGTTCAGGGCCAAGAATAATTTAATATATTATTATTATATATTGTGTGTACATATCATTTGTTGATGTGTTTAATATTAATCAATCTCTTCCAAAATAAATAAATAATTTAATAAATTTTGACATTGAACAATTTGGAGTTTTGGACTTGTAATTTAATGCATTTAAGATTAAGAGTTCCAATTTCTTTGTAACACTAAACTTGGCCTTATATTTAAGATTAAGAGTTTCAACTTCTATTAGATTATGTTAATAATTTATATTTAATTTATCAATTATTAAATTAAAATGTATACTAACATTATATTTTATTTATGTTTGAGAATAAATTATATTTTATACTTAATTTAATTGACAAAGATTTTTCGGGGCGGGTGGGGTAATTGGTGGAGATTTTTCAAGTATGGGTAATTTTCGGGGGCGGGCAATATGCGGGGCATTTCCATGCAAGGTCGAGGCAGGGACCCGCAGGGACACACACACACCCCCAACCCTAACTCGCACCCGACGGGGAACAAAATGCTACTCATGCCCGCCCTTATACCTGAAAAAATCAGGGAATCCCCGATGGAGCGAGTAAAACGCCCATCTCTGGGGTGTAAGTTTGAAAGACAAAGAGTTCTTGACTTCAAGTTATATCAAGTAAGTGGCCAACCAATTACCTTACTAGAAAGGAAAATTAGGGTTTTGGGATACAAACGGATGGGCATAAAATATATGCAAAAGTGAATACGACGAGTTTAACTTTTTTGAAATCATTATTCCATTCACTTGAATTATCCCTTTTAAAATTTATTAGTAAATTAATTATAGACAAAATTACCCTTATTCAAATCATCACACAAACACAAATCAAAGATAATCAAAAGGCAAACAGACCAGTCATCACAAACATCAATCTGCCTCCAATTGAAGAGAAAAATAAAAATGACAGATTTCTTCTTCTCTTCCCGATCAACTTAACTTCAAACATTACTATCAAACTAACAAAAATAATAATAATAATAAACAGTTTATAGCCTGCAAAGTGCAAAGTCAACCTCAGTTCCTAATACTTTGCCAATGGAGATTTGGTTTGACAATTTTTTTTTTTTTTTTTTTTCAAAAAAGGAAAAGAATCCCTTCATTCTAAAATTAACAAGAATATATTAAGAATTGTCAAATCAGTATATTACTTACCAATAGCTTAAAGAATTTGATAATAATATAATAAATTTTAATTGTAAGTAATAAACATAATTGCTTTATTCAACGAAGCATTTCTATAAATATTTTCTTCAACATAATATTTATGCCTTAATTAATATGAAATTTGAATATCGGAAAGGATTTTTTATATCATTAATAAAATAGAATATATTATTATATGTAATAATTAAGATTCCTAATAGGAAGATATACAAGGATCCAAAGTTCATATGCTAGATTAATAAGATCAAATCAATTTCCAAATTTAGAGTTTTAACAAAGATGTCCATTACATATGCTAGATTACCATTATAATAAAAGTTTAATAAGGAACAAAACCTTTTAACTTAAATTTTTTATTTAAATCTATCAAAATATATGATTATTTTTTAATATTTTCATTCATTGTAATTCTACAATATATAGGCTACATACAAAAACATTTACAAGAAAGAATAAAAGAATTAATTATAGAATATTATAGAAAATATTAATGTCTTAATTATAGTTTATTCTAACAAATCCTATAATTTAAGAAAAAATTATATCTTAATTATAGGATATTCTACCAAAACTGAGGCACAAATTTTCAATCATAAATATCTTGTAATCCAATAAATGTGAGAATTAGTTTGGAGATAATCAATTACACCACTCCTTGAAGAAGAACAATGGATTGAATGTCCCAAGGTCCTTCAGAATGGGAAGCTGAAACTGAAGCCCATTGTGTAGACAATCAATTGCTGCAATACATTGAAGTAGCCTTTGTTTCTAGCTTTCTCACAAAATTTGAGGCCAATCAAAGTGTTAAAAGCTTGAAAACAGGCATCCGTAAATTCCCTACACTAAAGAATCGTTATTTTCATCATCACCTATCATCGGACCTTTTAGCAAAGTCTAAGGATAATTGGAGAAAACTTGAAAATAGGCTTACCAAAAATTGACAAAAAAATGACATTTGATTTCAAAGAGATTATTCTACCAAGAAGTAGCCTTTATTTCTAGCTAGCACATCAAATTTAAGGGCCATCAGAGTATTGTGGGGTTGAAAATAAATGTTTCAGAAATACAAGCAAAAAACAAGCAGAAACAAAGAAATGAATATTCAACTACAATTATTTTCTAAAATACTCTTGTTCATGTTGTTTCTCACATATAACACATAAAACTACTGTTTGCAAAATAAATAAAGCCAACACAAATGACAAATGGTCCATACATAAGGGCTAAAAATTAGAACAAAAAACAGTTCACTAATTATAAATACGGGATGGAAACGAATTCAACTGTTGTTGTCTTTAAAGCATATGATTTCATGTCGTTTTGGCTAAGTTAAAAATGCCATCAATAAATTCGACATCACCATTTTTGTAAGCAACCCACCTAAATCGATCAAATCCACCATAAGCCTTGACGCCACCATCATAATAACCAACATTATTACCTCCATAACCACCATCATAATAACCAACATTAAGGGCTAAAATTGATAGTTGGGTCAGCTCTTAAGAATGATCTTGATATGGTAGAAGCACGTACAAGAACAAAACAATATTAGCTCTAGCAACAGAATGTTAGATCAACTTTTACAACAATAAAAATCCATATATAACCATTTGATATTTAAAAAATCTATTAGATTTAAACGGTCAAAGGTCCATCTCCTTGGTACTTAAAATACAGTTCGCACTCACACACACACAATTTTAGCCTTAACACACATCATAAAACACACCTAGCCGATTATAACATAGCAAAAATAAATCTCCAATTTAACAAGGGTTTAGGGTTTAGGCTTTTTATCGGTAAACCCATAATTGTATTAAAGGTTTAGGGTTTTTTGGATAAGAAGAATGCTACACTTACAAAGATGTATACAAAGAAGGGTATACAAAGATAAATCTAATCCTTGAAAGAAGGAAAAAAGAGAGAGAGAGAAAGACAATCATAAAGATTAAGGGTAAGATTTATCTTTGTATACCCTTCTTTGTATGCATCTTTGTAAGATTAACATTTCTCTTTGGCAAACCCAGTAACTATATTATAAAAAAGAATAAAAAGTACCTGGAGAAAGAGAGAAAGCTCTCTTTCAAGTTAACTCCTTGGGCATGCCCAACGAAAAGCTAACAAAAAAAGGCCCAGGAACCCATAAGCAAGCACAAAAACAAACTATCTATACAAAATACAAGGTCACATAACCAAAAAATCTGCACTGTACAGAGGGGCCCATGTACAGAAGAACGGGTGCCCCCAGCCCACACAACCTTCCCACGGACCCAGCCCAAAAACCTATCCAAGCAATAGCCACGCAACCAGCCCACTCAAATGAAGCTCACATATGGAAGCCCAGGCAAAAGAGAGCAAACGGCTGAACACGCAACCTAGCCCACAAAGCCTGCACACGTGACTGAACACGCACCTAGCCACGCATCCAACCCACCTAACAGCCCACACACAAACCCACTCACACTGCCCAAACAAACTACCCACATATACAGCAACAAAATCTATGGCCCAACATCAATAAGCCCATCAAAACCCTGATGCAACAGTCTAGTAAAAACATCCCGAACCATCTTCTTATAAACCCAACCCACCTCCATTAAATCCAAGTCCAAGGGGACTCCATGCCCAAAGCCCTATCCATCCTTTGTGTAATTTGATATCAAACATAAGAAAATTCAACTGACCTGGAGGACTCTTCCATAGTTCCATATATTAACCGTTACCCAAGAGTGGTGATAAGATATATGTTGGCTTGGTTGGGAGGTCTGAGAAACAAAAATTAATAAAGTATAGACAAAATAAACTGGACACCTATTAAAGAAGTCAGCATTTATAAAAAGAAATGTCTACAGCTAGAAAGATTAATAGTTTATAATAACTAAGAAAAGAAGGGCTGGATCATGGGTGCATTACAGTATCCCAGGGGTCAGGACCTTTGTTGGATCATTATTTCTTCCTGAAAGGCCACAAAACCTGCTAAGCCTGCATCTCCAATGATGAAGAAACTAAAATGACAACTTCATGCTCCAGACAAAAATCACAAAATGCTAATTGCTCCAGTACTTGATGCAGGAATAATTGCTGCAAGAATTGAACTCGTCTATTGCTAAAACAGCAGAACATATGTTGGTTGCTGCTTGGGGTAAAGTAAACAGATGTACTTTGTTATATGAAATCCTCTATTTGCCTTCATGATAAATCAGTTCAAAAGCAAGAATACCATCAGTCAAAAGAAGTACAAATCATCAATTCAATCAAATCTTGTCATTTACTTTCATGCCTCCCAATGCAGAGCCAATTAGAACCACACATTCAATTTTATCAAACTCTTCATTGACTTCTTCTGTTATTCCACCATCCGTAAAGGCTATCTTGCCAGCAGTGAGAATATAAAGCCCGAATTTGTTTGCCCTCTTAGCATGTTTTGGTGATAAGCAATCAACCATTTACTGAGAGAGACTTGATCTTTCCAGCGACTTTCACCGAGTTCCTTTTTGAAGTTGTTGGTAATCATACAGAGCTCAGCGTATGTAAATCGCCTGCTCTTTGCCATTGACCCATATGATTTCTTAGACGTTCCTCCTGACTCCTTTGCTGGTTTAAAAAGAAAATACTTGCATATTTACTTTGAACAAATACTTACATACAAAAAATCTCAATCTGAACATTCTTATTTTCTGAAAATTCAAATTCCTGTTTATTTTTAGAAATTTGAATTTTTTGTATAAGAAAGTTTGATGAAATTTTGTATTTTAATGTTTATGATCCACACAATAATCCGCAAGGAAAGACACCTGTGCATACACATTGCATTTAGTATATATGGTGTAATGGTAGTCTTGAATACCTTGTTTTGGACTTTTAAGTCTCCAGAAAAGAGCCAATGCAGCTAATAGTGTGAACAAGGAAGCAAATGATGCTACAACTGGAACAAGTAATTTCTTCTTCTTCCTTTTCTTGCCGCATGAAACTGATGCGCAAAGATTTGGATTGCCTTCCACACTTCAATCAAACACCAGTGAGAATAATGTGAGAGTTGGGAATTTAGATCAGGTATTACATAAATGCAATATTATACTTACAACCCAATCTTACAACCCCTAGGTGGTAGCTCCCAGTTTTTTGCTAATGAATTTCCCAAAATTCAAAACTCATTAGCAAAAAACTGGGAGCTACCATGTAGGGATTATGAGAAAGAGTTTGTGAGAGTAGATTGTAATACTTAAGCAAGCACTTGTGGAAAATGGAAGCTCACTCTATGACTTCTATAAAAAAAATATAACTCTGTTTCTAGGATTATTATAGGAAGCAAAAAATTCTAAGGGAATTTGTCCAATTTTGGTTCCAACCAATTAGATATAGTTCATTTTGGGTTCATATACTGGCAAATATTAAAATATTACATTTGGGTTTCATGCAAATGTCTTTCACTCAAAATACATCACTTAATTCCTTAGCTAGTTCACTTGACGAGGTGGGCCGTGACAGTATTGGACAAATTTATTGATATGGCATGAGAGTTTTGGACAAAATACCTTAATGATACGGAACCCTTTTGTGATCTTTTAGTAAGTTCAACTGGTACTGAACCTGTGAGCAATATTTCCACTTAAGTTTCTGCGAAAATCATACCAGAAATGTGAATTAGTCCTTAGCTTTAATATCAAGAAACATGCCATTTCAGTTTAAATATCCCAAGATATAAACTTACAAGGTCTTCAAGAATGGCAGTTGAGACAGAAACTCGGGCACTGATCCAGTCAAATTATTGTTTGATAAGTCCCTGACATAAGAATAGATAATTTTTTGGAGTGCGTCAAATTTAACTTCATCTTTGTTGGAAACAATGTGTATATATATAGTGTAAAGGGTAAAGGGTATATTTGTAATTATTGAGTGTGTGTATATATTTGAGTTTGGGTGTACTGTTGACATTAAGTGAAATAGAGAGAATAACATGGTATCAGAGCGTAAACCCTAAACACATTTGCGTGATTCAGTTTCCAACGAGTGCTGACCTCTTCCCTGGGTTTTTCGGCGACGTTTGACCCCTTCCTTGTGTTTTCCGGCGACGTTTGACCCCTTCCCTGTGTTTTCTGGCAGCGTCTGACCCTTCCCTCTATTTTTCGGCGACGTCTGACCTCTGTGTCTGTTTTCCGGCCACGTCTGACTCTGTTCTTCATTGTTTTCCTTTTTTTTTCGGCGAGTGCTGATTCTGAGTTTTGGTTTGGTGCAGTAAATCTCTCTTCTCTGATTGTTGGTTTGGTGCAGTAATTTTTTTTTTTGAAATTAGGCTCAGTGTTTGTGTTAAAATGGGAATGCTTTGTGTTGGCTTGGAGTTGAAAATGTGATACTAAAGTTGTTGTGAATCCTGGTGGTTTGAGTTGTTGTGTTTGCTTGGGTTGTTTGGTGTTGGGATTGTTGTGAATCGGTGGAGTTGTTGTGTTTGCTTGGGTTGTTTGGTGTTGGGATTGTTGTGAATCTGTGGAGTTACGAGTTCTTTGCTAGACAGTATGGCAGCGGACGATAAGAAGATGGTGACTGAAATTGTCACTTCCTCCAGCAAAATTACTTATCGAAAATTATTGGGAAAAAAGAATTATATTCAATGGAAGCGGATAATCCGACGATATGTGTCCAGCATTGATATGGGAGACCATTTAATCAAGGATCCACTTGAGGAAACAGAAGATGATAGTAAAACTCGAAAAAGATGGCTCATGGAAGATGATAAGCTCTTCAATTAGATTCAGAACACTCTTGATTCGTTAGTGGATGATGTGATTGGTCATTATGATACAGTCAAGGAGTTATGGGACTATCTAGAGTTCTTGTATGCTGGTAAACAAGACTTGTCTCATGCCCACGAATTGTTATTGAAGATCTATTGGGCAAATATGCAAGAGAAGACATTGCTCGAATATTATACAGAGATAAAACAAGCCTTTGAAGAAAAAAGGGCTATGTTTCCTGTCCCCACTGACGTGAAAATGATGCAAGCACAAGAAGAACAAGTGGTTGCGCAATGTTTTCTAGTTGGGTTGAGACTGGAATATGAGATAGCTCGTACACAACTTCTTACCGGTGAGACACTTCCCTCTCTTACGAATGTCTTTGCTCGCCTCCTCAGAGTTCGTAAGGGGGAAGATCGAGGAGTGCCTAAGGACAAAGAAACCCTTAAGGATCCTAATGTTGATCATGCGACCCTAGCTAGCATGAAGTCTGGTGATAGCAAAGGTAACAAAGGGACAAGTCGTGATCCTAGGAACAATCGTGGTAATAGCCCTCGTACTTGCTTTCACTGTGGTGCTGAGGGTCACATAAAGAAAAATTGTTGGAAGCTCCAAGCCCCTTACTATGCAAGACACTCAGAAGTTTGCTCATGTTGTAACTCAAGATGGTCTCTTACCCACCCCATCACAGGTTACTATCTCCGCAACAGAATATGCTCGTCTCACTTAGAATTCTTACTCCCAGTCATCCATCCTATCGACCACTACTACTTTAACCTAGTTAGGTAATCCTACAACTTGCTTGTCCACTTCTAGTAGTAACTGGGTCATTGATTCTGGTGCTACCCACCATATGACAGGCGATACAGGTATTCTCTCCTTATTTACACCTTCTCCCAATTTGTCTTCGGTTACCTTAGTTAACAGATCTACTTCACCTACTATTGGATGTGGTACTACCCATCTCAACAAATCTATGTCTCTTTCCTCTGTCCTGTGCCTTCCTTATTTTCCCTTTAATCTTTTATCAATTAGTCAAATTACTAATGCATTCAATTGTGGTGTTTACCTTTTTCCTACTCATTGTATATTTCAGGATCTTGGGACGAGGCGGATTATTGGTAGGGGCCGTGTATCAGGTGGCCTATATATGCTCGATGATGTCTCTACTCCTGTCTCTCAACCTGTTGCGTGTACCAGTGATTCATCTCTACCCATACTACATGGTCGCCTTGGTCATCCTCCCCTCCCATTTTGAAAAGGCTATGTCCTAATGTAGGGTCAGTGTCACACCTTGAGTGTGAGGCATGTCAGTTTGGAAAACACCATAGAGTGTCCTATAGCCCTAGGATAAACAAAAGAGCCATAACCCTTTTTAATGTTATACACTCTAATGTTTGGGGTCCTTGCCCTGTGTTGTCACAAGTCTGGATATCGATATTTTGTTATTTTTGTGGATGATTTTTCACGTGTAACTTGGTTGTATGAAAAATCGTTCTAAACTATTCTCCATATTTTGTACCTTTTATGCTGAAATACAAAATCAATTTACTTCATCTATTAATTTTCTCAAAAGTGATAATGCCAAATAATACTTTTCTACTCCTTTCTCTTCCTTTCTATCTACTAGAGGTATTATTCATTAGTCATCACGTGTTTATACACCTCAGCAAAATGAAGTTGTTGAACGCAAAAATCGTCATTTATTAGAAGTCGCTCGTACTCTCCTTTTTCACATGAAAGTCTCTACAGAATTTTGGGTAGATGCTATCTCCACAGCATGTCACTTGATCAATCGCATGCCTTCTTCTGTTTTGGGTGGTCAAATCCCGTTCTCCATCCTTTTTCCATCATAGCCTTTATTCTCTCTTCCTCCTAAAGTGTTTGGATGCACGTGCTTTGTTCAAGATGTTAGACCTCATGCATCCAAATTTGAACCTCAGTCCCTCAAGTGTATATTCATGGGTTATTCCCGATTTCAGAAGGGTTATCACTGTTTTTCTCCTGTCTTAGGTAAGTACCTTATCTCAGCTGATGTTTGCTTTTTTGAAACCACTCTATATGTTGAGTCCTCCACCTCATCTACTTCTTTTGAAGCACCCCTTGATGATCTTCTTGTTTACCACATTACCCATCATAGTCCTCTACCATCTCGTCCGCCTATCACCCAAGTATACTCTTGCAGGGTTCACCAGCACCATGAGACACCTGCAGCAACATCTGATCCACTGCCTTTATCGACTGCCTCGCCCTCTGATCCGGTTCCTCCATCCTCTAACCATGATCATAATTTTCCCATTGCTCTTCGTAAAGGTAAGTGCTCTTATACCTATCCTATCTCCTCATTTGTTTCTTATCACTCTCTGTCTTCATCTTCCAAGTCTTTTATTGCCTCTTTAGACTCTATGTCTGTTCCCAACTCTGTGTCTGAAGCAATTGCTCATGATGGGTGGCGACGGGCTATGGAAGAAGAGATGTTGGCTCTAGAACATAATGATACATGGGTTCTAATGGGGTTGCCTAAAAATAAAAAGGCTATTGGGTGCAAATGGGTTTTCACAGTGAAGGCTAATCCCGATGGGACTGTGGCTCGGTTGAAAGCTCGTTTGGTTGCTAAAGGTTATGCCTAGATGTATGGTATTAATTATTCTGAGACATTCTCCCTAGTTACTAAAATGACCTCTGTCCGACTATTCATCTCTCTTGCAGCTTCATATCATTGGCCTCTTCACCAACTTGATGTAAAAAATGCCTTTTTACATGGTGATCTTCTTGAAGAGGTTTACATGGAGCAACCTCCATGGGCGTGGTTTGTTGCTCAGGGGGAGTCAGGAAAGGTATGCAAATTGAGGAAATCTTTATATGGCTTAAAGCAATCTCCATGGGCGTGGTTTGGGAGGTTTAGCAAAGTGGTGATTCAGTCTGGTTTACATAGGAGTGCTTATGATCACTCTGTCTTTTATAAGCAATCTAGTTATGGCATCATTCTTTTGGTTGTTTATGTTGATGACATTGTAATCATTGGCAGTGATGATGTTGGCATTCAGAGTTTGAAAAATTGTTTGGCTTCCAAATTTCACACAAAAGACTTGGGTACTTTAAGGTATTTTCTCGGAGTTGAGGTTTCTCGGAGTAAGAAAGGGATCTTTCTCTCTCAACGCAAGTATGTGTTAGATGTGTTGACCGAAATGGGTCTAAGTGAGGCTAAGCCTTGTGACACTCCTATGGTTCCTAATGTGAGATTGAATGCTGAGGATGGAGAGATGTTTGGTGGTTCAGAGAGGTACAGACGGATAGTTGGAAAGTTAAACTACCTTACAGTAACCCGTCCAGATATTGCTTTTTCAGTGAGTGTGGTGAGTCAGTTTATGTCATCTCCTAGGACATCTCATTGGGATGCGGTCCTCCATATTTTGAAGTATCTAAAAGGAGCCCTTGGACGTGGGATTCTTTACAGTGACCATGGTCATAATAAGGTAGAAGGTTTTTCAGATTCTGATTGGGCAGGATCCTCTGTGAATAGACGGTCTGTGACTAGGTTTTGTGTTTTTGTTGGAGGAAATCTTATTTCTTAGAAAAGTAAGAAGCAACCGGTTGTAGCTAGGTCAAGTGCAGAGTCTGAGTATCGGGCTATGGCACAAGTTACGTGTGAGCTCATATGGACAAGACATCTTCTTAGAGAAATTGGGTTTGGTGACCCATGTACTATGGACTTGTGGTGTGACAACCAAGCAACCATACATATAGCAAACAATCTAGTCTTTCATGAGAGGACTAAGCATATAGAAGTGGATTGTCACTTTGTACGAGAGAAACTTGAACAAAAGTTAATTGCTACTAATCATGTTAGAACAGGGGAACAACTAGCTGACATCTTCACGAAGTCTCTAGTTGGTAAAAGGGCAACTTATATTTGTAACAAGCTGGGCATGATAGATATATAAGCTTCAGCTTGAGGGGGAGTGTTGGAAACTATGTGTATATATATAGTGTAAAGGGTAAAGGGTATATTTGTAATTATTGAGTGTGTGTATATATTTGAGTTAGGGTGTACTGTTGAGATTAAGTGAAATAGAGAGAATAACAATCTTTAAATATGTTGACAACACCGAAGCATAATGAGACTGAGATTATACTTACAGGTGTTGTATCATTGTAAGATTGGATATGTAAGGAGGTATCTCACCAGTCAGTCCGTTTGAAGATAAACTCCTAAATTGATGTCCATTAATTTGATTAACAAAAGAGTTAAAAGAAATAAAATAAACTAAAAAGTCATATAGAATATGTTCTTGAATACATGAACTTACAGGGAAATAATTCTTGGAGGACTGCTACCATTGAAGCTGCAATCAAGGCCATCCCACAAGTATTCTTGAGGGGCACACGGATCTCCTTGCCAATCTTTTATCTTAGACAATGACTTGATATTCTTGATAGCATCAGCTGATGTTTCCATATGTAAGTATTCAAAAATGTTTATACAGACAATGAAATGCATATATTTCTAATTCGGAAGAGCTTACCATCTACTTGGTTGGTTTCTGACTGTGCGAAATCTTTCACTAAATAAAATTTGACACCATTGATAATTGGAGGGAGGGTTGAATCTTCAGTTCTAGTGATTAAAATATCACATTGTCCTCCGATAAAGTCTGACGGATTGTAAAAAGTGGTCATGTACAAGTAAGATGGAGAAACAGGGTCAGACGAGAAATTTCCATTTAAATCTCGGTTCAAAGAACTATTGAATCTTCTTGACTGATTGGCTGGGAGAACTTCAAGTTCCGCAAAGTGCATGTACACATAAATCGTGGAATTCGAATCCTCAGGAGTGAAAGAGAGTTGTAATGGGTCACTTGCATTTCTTGGTGTCCCGGCACTCTTCATGACAATTTGTGGAGGCTGAAAATCATGTAGTTAATTGTTCCCAGTTGGGATGGTTATACGGTATCCATTTTCGATCAAAAGCATCATCCGGATACCTGCAGGATTATTAAATTTTTCTTTCTATATAATCAAAGAGTGAATGAATTGATCTTAACATTGTAGACAATTTTTTTTCACTTAGCTCACCTGAGTATTTCAGTTGTAATTGGTTGAACATTCATCCTTGCATAGATTACAAGCGACCCAAATTCAGTCACATAAGTGCTATTTTTCAGAGGATTGAATTCTAAAGATGAAATCAATGGTGTCCCGGAACCTGTATTCACTAAACAGACATCAATATAATTCGATGGTGAAACATGTATGATTTCCTTAAATAGGGTGGTGGAAACATGTCAAGAACAACAGAATCCCACAGACTGGCCCCCAGGTACAAATCAAATGACTGTGGTGGTCTAGCTTTGTCATCAAAATTTCCATGAAAGAAGGTTGCTAAGATCAAGTATCTACTTTGTTTGGAACTTTTACATGGTAACAGTTTTTGGAACCTTCAGGAAAGCTTCTGAGAGTCCATAACGGTTGTTCAAGGCTATCTGATTGATACGATAGTGCTACACTGCTACTTATCCCAGTTTCTATGAAGCCTGCATCGGAAACGTAATAAAGGCCAGTTTGTGAATCAGTGTAGTTTGAGTTTGCTCCGCAATCAATGCTGACGAATCCTGGAAAGAAGAGAAAAATTAATATCTAGTCTCACTTTCATTTTCTGTGAGAATCAAATATTACAAAAGATTCGGAAATGCAAGACCTGGTTCCTGAGCATAGACCTGCAGAAGTATAAGAGCAAAAGCAACTAGAAATGCAAATCATATACTCTCAGGACCATAAGAGACTTGATTAAACAATAAAATTGACACCTTTAAATTATATGGATGGAGTTTTTAAAACCTGATTGACTCTGGGCGCGAATCACGGCTACAAAAGATTCGGAAATGCAAGACATTCTGAGCATAGACCTGCAGAAGTATAAGAGCAAAAGCAGCTAGAAATGCAAATAATATACTCTCAGTGTTGGAGTTGTCGACTATTTCAGCATTAATGGGTAACGGAGACGCACTCGGGGGTCCCGCTGCCCGATCAGCGGGCGGGTGCCCCACTCCCCGGTGAGCGAGCGGGGGTCGCGGGGGCAGCGCCCCGGAGCCCGTAGGCGGTTTTGGGCTTTTCCATGTATAACCGCTGTAGGATTCCTTTTAAGTTATTAATTCCTTTTTGGGTTGGGCTTAGGAATAAGAATTCTTGTAAAACTAGGTTTAATCTCTTAAACCTAGTATATAAACATTCTTTTCTCTTGTTATGAGTGTGAGAGCAATTCATTCATTGTAAACGAGAGAGGTGAGGCATATTTCAATAATATTGACTCAGCTGGACGTAGCCTACATTGGGTGAACCAGGGTAAATCGCGCGTATAATTTCTTTGTTTACTGTTTGTTTTGTTTTACTATTATTATTTTGTTCCTGTTGCTTCTCTATTTCGTTCACTCAGGACCATAAGAGAAGCTATACTTATGAATGCACAGATGATCAACTTGTCTAACATCTCCATTTCCAATTTCGGTTTCTTCTTGCGTGTCTCATACAATTTAAAATGCTCTGAATAGTATATTATAGGATGCTCAAATTAATTTTTCTAGTAAGTACTCTAAGCAGGCCGTTAGTTTTATATATGGAATTTTCAGGAGGGGACACTTGAGGAATTTTCAAATCCAACTGTACTAGTTAATTCGTAATTAAAATAGGGACAATGCTAAGACAAGAACATCAGCCAATACGAAGTGGAAGTAATTAATTAATCGCCAAACCCATCCCTGACCCTGAGAAAGTACTCTTGACTTGAGAAAGACTTCTATGGCAAGTGTTGATTCATTGACTTTGTCTTCTTTAACACCTCCATTGCCAATTTGTTTTCATCCTGTGTATTAAACAATTTATAATACTATGGAACAGACGATGATGATGGATAATATAATATAGGAATATCAGTCAGTTTTTCGTGTAAGCATATTGCTAGTCATATATAATATTATGAGTAAACTGACTTTTTTCTATCCAAATTCCAAATGATAGCCTAATGACACTTTTCCACTTAGAGACTTTTAAATTCCATTTTACTATCCAAATTTATATTCTGTTTCTGATTCTGGCATCGTTGCGACCCTACCTCACAACCATTCTCTTTCCTGATCATCACTCACCAAAACTCCTCAAATCCTACACTTGCCGACCCTACAAATCACTGGAAATCGAGTGATTCGGCTTTGCACAACCGCCCTTCCTAAGTCAAATTTCGATCAATCTCAGTCACCAAAATCCAACTTTTCACCACCAAAAGACTCATCGACCTCCCCTCTTTAAAAGCCCCAACAGTTTAGACCGAGTTTACTTTATATTCACCATTAGAATATAAATTTGGATAGTAAAGTGGTATTTTAAAAATATATGGGTAGGAAAATGTCGTTAAACTATTATTTGAGTGGGAAAAAGTCGCTAACTCATAATATTATTCATCTTAGCTAAATTTTAGTACCATTTGAAATTAATATTCATGGGGCATTTGCAGAATATATAAATTCAATTGTATTATCTTGTGATATAAAAAGGTGAGAAGGTTGGGAACAACAAACGAGGACATTAGCCTATCAATGAGAAGGAAAATTAATCGCCAACCTGATCCTAGGCATTAAGTATCTAGAGAGAGACTTCTATGGTAAGGGTTGATTCATTGACTTTGGCCATAACATTAAGTATATCTTGAAAAGACTTACTCTATATCATAAGGCTGACTGATTTAATTATTTATATTTGACCTATTCTTCCTGATTCAGGATTTACAAAATATGACTAATTCTCTGAGGAATGTCTTAAAGGAGGTGATGTAGACAACATACACATACTTATATCAAGATGGAATTCGAACTAGGTCATACTACCAGTGAAAGGGACGGCACTTGTACAGTGTTGTGAATCATAAACTTAACTGAATGATGTGGGTTTTGTTCTGTCTCTTGTTTATTTATTTTCATCATATTAGCTTTTGAGCTTCACACGAGCATTATTTGAAGTGATAATAGCCCTTAAGCCTAATANGTCATTAAACTATTATTTGAGTGGGAAAAAGTCGTTAACTCATAATATTATTCATCTTAACTAAATTTTAGTACCATTTGAAATTAATATTCATGGGCATTTGCAGAATATATAAATTCAATTGTATTATCTTGTGATATAAAAAGGTGAGAAGGTTGGGAACAACAGACGAGGACATTAGCCTATCAATGAGAAGGAAAATTAATCGCCAACCTGATCCCCAGGCATTAAGTATCTAGAGAAAGACTTCTATGGTAAGGGTTGATTCATTGACTTTGGCTATAACATTAAGTATATCTTGAAAAGACTTCTATCATAAGGGTGACTCATTTAATTATTTATATTTGACCTATTCTTCCTGATTCAGGATTTACAAAATATGACTAATTCTCTGAGGAATGTCTTAAAGGAGGTGATGTAGACAACATACACATATTTATATCAAGATGGAATTTGAACTAGGTCATACTACCAATGAAAGGGACGGCACTTGTGGAGTGATGTGAATCATAAACTTATAAACTGAATGATGTGGGTTTTGTTCTGTCTCTTGTTAATTGATTTTCATCAGATTAGCTTTTGAGCTTCACACGAGCATTATTTGAAGTGATAATAGCCCTTAAGCCCAATACCCATGGCAGGAGGGTGGCTGTGGCAATATTAAAGTAATTTTTAGCCCCCATAAACTGGTTGATATATTCTACTTTTAAATGTATTTTATTTTGACAAATTGAACCTTAATGACATAATGATTTCTATACTGAGTCCTTATTTTATATATTTGTTTTGATTTTTAACCTTTAATCCTTTCATAAATCCTAAATCAAAAGCTTCTAAATTATTGAAACATAATTAAATTTGAAAATGAGAAAAAGTTGCGTAATTAAAAAACCTAATTAAAGAGGGCCATTTTCGGTACTAATTGGGATTCATAGAGAATTTTTATAATAAATATGTGCTTAGTAATGAGAGGTAAAGAAAAATTCGATAGGTATAAAAATCACTTCTCGTCGCAATAACCCTTGAGCCCAATATCCATAACCTTAGAGTCTAGATTGTAAACTTAGCCCAATTATAACACCCATTCGCCCAGCGAAAAATTGGACAAATTTTCGTTCAGGGGCCCATAAATAGAGAACGCTGATTGGAAGTAGAGAAAAGAGAACAGCTAAAACTTTGGGATGTTACAGTTGGTGATACTGTCTGTTTCTAACAATATTCTGATAGCAGAAGAGCCAAAACTTTGAGATGTGAACTGGACCTGAACATTGTGTGAAACACATATTTGCCATCTGCCTAGTATTCAATTTTCAGATTTAGCAGAATATTTGAAGTTGTCTAACTCTGAGACGATTGATTATTTAGTCTCCCAAAAGGTTATAACGAATTCTGACTACTTTCCAATAATTACCAGCTTAGAGTTTTTAATATCCAACACTACAAACTCCATACATTGATGATGAAATAATGATTTATTGACATACTTATGCAGGATCCATAGTATATTTGCGGTTATAATACAATCTAGGATTTGTACATTAACTGCAATAGAGGCATAGTTGCTTTCTCCTCAAAGCACGAAATATAAAACTGAAGTCAAAAGAAGGTCTAATGGGGCACACGATATATAAATAGTACTAAAGCAGGACATATATTGAGAAAGCATTACTACCTTGTTGTGAGATATGATTCAGCATGATGATCTGAATTGTACAATTCAATTGAATCTTTTGATTCAATGTCATTGTCCACCTTCTTACGAGCTATTTCCATTGCCAAACACTCATTCAATTCGATCACAACTTTAGTCATGGTTGGCCTTTTGGTGGCAGTTGGAGATATACAAGCCATTGCTATTTCTACAGCTTTCCGAACAGAGTTAATGTCGAAGTCACCCTGTAATCTTGGATCTACTATGTTTTTAATATCTGCCTTTGCAAGCATGAAACTCACCCATTGACTGATGTGAGTTCTCTCTTGGGATTTCTCAATCACAGGTTTGCATGTCATTAACTCTAAGAGAACCACTCCAAAGCTATACACATCACTTTTTTCAGTCAACCTATCCGAAATATNATAGGATTGTGTTCTGGAAAATTGCAGAATGGTTCATGCAGCAGTGACTTAACGTGCATGGGAGAGTTTTTTGTGTAATTGGTTATCTTGTTTTAAAGGGTATTTAAGTAAGTTCATTAGAAGTAAGTTTACTGTAATGTTGTGTTGAAATTTGAATTTGAAAGCTGTAACTTCTGCTGTAGTAGGTGTAATTAGCAGAGAGTGGATATGTGTTATATATTGTTTCTTTAATGAAATGTCTGTAGCTTTTTGCAAAATTGTTTTTGGTGCTCTGTTTTTATCTCTCTCTCTCTCTCTCAATGTTCTTCGGCTGAAAACCTACANACTTGTTAATTGATTTAGCACATGAAATCTATTTGTAACTTGTAAGCTTCACAGTGATAAAAAAGTTTGTATAAAGATCACCTTAGTATCAGACCATTCTTCTTCATTTCCATGAGTCCAACTGGAATTGAACCTTCAAGTCTGTTTCCTGTCAGGTTTCTGCAAAGGAATATTTAGTAATTGTAATCCACTGTTTTTAAGATAAGAGTTCTGTTTAATTGAATAGATACTAAGACCGTCCAAGACTTTTTAAAATAAATCTATGCTCTTCTATCAAAGTTATAACTTATTCATCATCATCCTGATCAAGGAACTTACAGGATTGTCAATTGTTGTAGCTCTGATAGAAAATCGGGCAGTCTCCCTGTCAAACTATTGTTTGATAGGTCCCTGAAATGGTGATTGAAAATATTAAGCTCACTTGGTTCCCGTCATCAATGGGATGAAAACTTACATTGGTTCATGTTAGGTTGTGTGATGCTTACAGAATTTGTATCGATGTGAGACTTGATATGTAATACGATATGTCTCCGGCTATTCCACTTGATGATAAATTCCTGCTTGGTTATTCAAAAATTTCATCAAAAGATTGTTGCGCTGGTCAAAGTTAAGAAGGTAGAATTTAGATGTTTGTTTAAAGTTCAATAGTGTAACTTACAGAGATATGATATTTGGGGCATCATAATCATCGTAGCTGCAATTAAGACCTTGCCACAAGTGACGTTTAGGTGCACATGGATCTTCTTGCCAATTTCTTTTCACTCCATATTTTGACTTTATATTCATGATGGCATCAACTAATTATTTTAAACATGAAGAAGAAAGAATATTATATTCATGATGTGATTGGCTCTACTTAATCCTCCATTAAGAACAAGAAAATAATACAAAAAGAAAAACAATCGTAAGGAGGAAAAACAGACCATCGTTTTGGTTTGTTAGCAGTTGCTGAAACTCTTGCACTCTATAAATCTCAAAGGCATTGAGAATGGGTGGTAGCGTCGAATTCCCAATATTGTTGAGTGAAAGCTCAATATTATCTTCACCTTTGGCTAATCGGCCGTAGTAGCCGCCTCCATCTAAGTATCTAGGTAATTGAGACTCCTCCGACCATTCCCTTCCATTAAAATATATGTCAATTTCCCTAGTCTGGTTGGATGGGAGCTTTTCAACCTCAGCGAAGAAGAAGAAGACATATTATTGGAAACTTGGATCGGTAGGCTTGAAACTGAACTGCAAAGAATTGCTATCATCTGCCGGAACAGCCGCAGTCTGCATGACGGTAGATGGTATATCAAAATCGTCGTCATAGAAGACGTTGCGCGAGTTATTTATTGATTTGCAGTTGTAGCAGTTGTAAGGAGACCATATGCGATCATAAACGTCATCTTTGTACCTTACATACAGACCAATTTTATTACTTACTAATTAGCAAAACCAAAATTCTGCTTTCCAAAAAATTGAGGTAGTATAATTAAATTGGCTCACCTGATTGGTTTATTGGTTGTTGAACCAAAATCCAACCGCCGAAAGAGTAGTAATGATCCGGTGTCAGCGTCATAAGTTGAATTTTTCAGACGCCTTAATTCTATAGCTGATATGAAAGGTGTCCCAGAGCCTGTGTTTTCAAGACAGATATATATATAGTTCTTCTGAGGAATATGGAGGATCTCCTTGGTGACAATAGTGGATGCATTTGTAAGTTCTACTGAATCCCAGAGATCAGCTTCAAGAAGGAGATTAAACCTTGGTACTTTGCCTTGGCCATCATAATTTCCGTACATGAATCTTGCTCTAATTAAAAACTTAGTATCGCTACGAGCAAGTTTCAACGTGTAACAATTTCTTTTTCCCTCGGGGAAGCTTCTCACGCTCATGAATTGTTGTTCAAGGCTGTTTCTGATGTATTCAGATGATATATTATTGCTTACACCGGTCTCTATTAAATTTGCATCTGAAGTNTCCATATTTTGACTTTATATTCATGATGGCATCAACTAATTGTTTTTAACATGAAAAAGAAAGAATATTATATTCATGGTGTGATTGGCTCTACTTATCCCTCCATTAAGAACAAGAAAATAATTCGAAAAGAAAAACAATCGTAAGGTGGAAAAACAGACCATCGTTTTGGTTTGTTAGCAGTTGCTGAAACTCTTGCACTCTATAAATCTCGAAGGCATTGAGGATGGGCGGTAGCGTCGAATTCCCAATTTTGTTGACTGAAAGCTCAATTTTATTTTCGCCTTTGGCTAATAGGCCGTGGTAGCCGTCTCCCTCTAAGTATCTAGGAAATTCAGACTCATCCGACCATTTCCTTCCATTAAAAAATATGTCAATTTCTCTAGTCTGGTTGGATGGGAGACTTTTAACCTCAGCAAAGTAGAAGTCGTCATAATATTGGAAGCTTGCATCAGTAGGCTTGATATTGAACTGCAAAGAATTGGTATCTGCCGGTACAGCCGCAGTCTGCATGACGGTAGACGGTATATCATAATCGTTCTCATAGAAGACTTTGAGCGAGTTATTTATTGATTTGCAGTTGTAGCAGTTGTAGGGAGACCATATGCGATCATAAACGTCATCTTTGTACCTTACATACAGAACAATTTTATACTTAGTAACTAGTAAACCAAGATTCATCAGCTTTCAAAAAAATTGCGGTAGTATAATTAAATTGGCTCACCTGATTGGTTTATTTGTTGTTGAACCAAAATCCCACCGCCGAAAGAGTAGTAATGATCCTGTGCCAGTTTGATAAGTTGAATTTTTCAGACGCCTTAATTCCAATGCTGATATGAAAGGTGTTCCAGAGCCTGTGTTTTCAAGACAGACATATATATTGTTCTTCTGGGGAATATGGAGGATCTCCTTGGTGACAATAGTGGATGCATTTGTAAGTTCTATTGAATCCCAGAGATCAGCTTCAAGAAGGAGATTAAACCTTGGTACTTTACCTTGGCCATCATAATTTCCGTACATGAATCTTGCTCTAATTAAAAACTTAGTATCGCCACGAGCAAGTTTCAAGGTGTAACAATTTCTTTTTCCCTCGGGGAAGCTTCTCACGCTCATGAATTGTTGTTCAAGGCTGTTTCGGATGTAGTCAGATGATATATTATTGCTTACACCGGTCTCTATGAAATTTGCATCTGAAGTGTAATTTATGCCTGTCATCTTGTCCGTATAGCTAGAATTTTCAGGTATCCCACAATCTATGCTAATAAAACCTGGAGATATAAGGATAAACAAAAAGAAAATCTAAGTAAAGAGTTATTGAATAAACAATAAAATTGAATCTTGATACTTAAATATGGATGGAGTTAGTAAAACCTGATTGACTCTGGGCGTGAATCAGGACTACAAGAGAAGCTGCACTTATGAATGCACAGAAGATCAACTTCTTTAAGATTTCCATTGCCAATTTGATTTCCTCTTGTGTGTCTCATACAATGTATAATGTTATGCAAACGATAATGCTTAGTACTAAGTACGTTGCTTGCATATAAAACTATACGAAAGACCATAACGATGAACAATATATAATAGCAATGTCAGTCAATTTTTCTAGTAACTAGTCAACTCATTTTATTATTCTACTTAAATTGAATTTTAGTACCGTGTGGAATTTCCAGGGGCACTTGCAGAATTTAAAAATTCAATTGTAATAGTTTGTAATTTATATAAAAGGACAATTAGGACAAGGACATTAGCCAATAAGAAGGGAAAGTAATCGCCAACCTGATCCATGAGAAAGCAGTCTTGAAAAAGGCCTCTATGGTAACGGTTGATTCATTGACTCTGGCTTTCAGTTGGTCTTCCTTGATTACAATTTAGAAAATATGAAGGATTAATTTTCCACAAGTTAAATGAATTTGTCTCCGGAAAAATAATTGGTCCTAAAGCTGAAAGGCATGACAATGGCCGACTGATGTGAAATACATGCAAAAACAGAATTTTGACGCTCAAGTCAATGAGAAAAAGCTAAAAACTTCTGCTTTCCGAATAATGTGTGGGCTTTGTTTTTTCTCTTGTTAATTGATTCTACATGCAACTATTATATTCATATGTGATATTACTTAATTATACTCAAGCTCCCCATTACAAATTTCTCAACGAATAGATATTTCCTAGTGTAAAGGTCTTTGACGTTCAAAAGTTTGTTTTAGGATCTCCACAAGTATCAATCATCTAAATTCCATCTATATATAACAGTGCAAACCAAAATCTGTAAGTTAGGCCCAGCACTTAAATCAATAGATGAAACTCAAACAAGAGTAATTTATGAGATGATTATACAAGCATTTTTTGTTCCTCGGATTCGGTTTTAGATTTCACTTTTCTCAAAAACGTTTTATTAATTTAAAATAACCCAAAACTCATAACTAAAGATGTGATATGTGTAACAATTTCTGGACCCTTCAGGGAAGCCTAAGGTTGTAGAATTGTTGTTCCAGGGTATCATTTTTGTATTCCGGTAACACACTATATGTTACACCAGTCTCAATGAAGGTTGCATCGGAAACATAATTGCTGCCTGTTTTCAAATCTGTATAGGGTGAATATTCCGGGATTTCACAATCAATGCTGATAAAACTTGAGAGGCATAAAGACACAGAAATTATCAGAGGAATTTGTTCAATATAGTTAAGAGGATACACACAATAAGAGAAGCTGTACATATGAATGAACAGATGATCAACTTCTTTAAAATCCCAACTGCCAATTCGGTTTCTGCTCATGTGTCTCATACAATTCAAAATGTTGTGAATAGTATATCGTATTATTAATAATATAATTTTCATGAGGGGCACTAGTGGAATTTTCAAATCAAATATTTCAGTTGAAACTAATAAAGTTGAGCATGTTAGAGACAAGGACATCAGCCTATTAGAAGAGGAACTTAATCGCCAATACCCGATCCCTGGGAGAGTCATTCAAGTAATTTTCTTATGTGTCTCATACAATTCAAATTGCTATGAATAGATAATCTATACGTACTCTAAGCATGTTTGTTAGTATCATTTATGGAAGAGTAAAGGACATTTACCCACCCAAGGTTTGGCGAATATGTAAATTTTCACCCGTGGTTACATAAATTGTAAATTCCCACCCAATTTTAAATTTCAATAAAGTAAATATTCCTTTGACCAGGTTTGACTAGTCAGATACTTTTTTACCCCTATTTTAATAATGAGTAAATTAATAAATTACTTTCTAACTCTCAAATTAATAGAATTAGTAAAATAAATCATCTTCCTTTCAAATTTGTTTCAATAACATCGTCTTCAACCTTCCTCTTCTTCGCAGTGGCCAAATCTCGACAGCCAAATCTGGGTTGTGAGAAAATTTTGAGATGTGGAGGGTTGTTTTAAAATTTTACTGATTTGGGGGATTGAGAGAAATTAGGGTTAACTATTTTAGGATAAAAAGACCTAAATACCATTTTAAATGCTGAAGTTAATGTTTGAAATTTAAAATTAGGTGAGAATTTGCAATTTATGAAACCACAGGTGAGAACTTGTAGATTCGCCAAACTTTGGGTGGGTAAATGTCTTTGCACTTGGAGAATTCTCGAACCAACTGTATTAGTTTGTAATTAAAACAGATGATTGAGCATCTTAAGAGAAGGATATCAACCTATAAGAAGGGGAGAAGTAATTAATTGCCAACCTGATCCCTAGAAGACTACTCTTGAAAAAGGCTTCTATGGCTAGTGTTTCATAGACTTTGTCTTCCTTGGTTGAAAATATGAATCATTGTAGTAATTCTACAAAAATTAAATAAAAAATAAAAAATTTCTCGCACAAACTAACTTAATATTAACACTTCTTCGTAATTTTAACATCATCTTTTTTCACTGTTCTAATATATTTTTAATTATGATTTTTACTTATCTAACCGTACTATACCATATCTTTTTTATAATACTGTTTTTAGTCTTAATCAATTTCTTATTTTAAAACTTTATCCTATTATTTATGTTTTTAGATACTACTGAATATAATCTAATTAAGTATGAAGATTAATAAGAAAATTTATTTATTGAATAGCTTTTTGTCAATCAACTAATATCATGAAGAGTGATTTTTTAGTAGGGATTTAGAACTTTAATTTCTAAAAATTAATTTAATTAATCATTTTAGTCAACAAAGGATGTGTATGCATATGTATTATATAATGGTGGCCGACACCAAGTCAGTACTATCAATATCACCAAATTTATGAAGTTAATTAATTTTCTACAGCCGCTTGTTCTTGGAAGAACTTGTAGATATTAGGATAAACAAAGAGAACATCTGAGTATTAATAAGTGAACGACAATTTGATTAAAATTTACTTGATTTTGGGCGTGAACCAGGACTTTATAGGAGTTGTAAGTATATATGCAAAGCACAATTTGATTAAAATTTACTTGATTTTGGGCGTGAACCAGGACTTTATAGGAGTTGTAAGTATATATGCAAAGCACAGATGGTCGACTTCTTTAACATCTCCACTGCCAATTCGGTTTCTTTTTGTGTATAGTACAATTTACAAAGGGGAATAATATGTTATAGGAATATTAGTCAATTTTTCCAGTTAGTAGTCTAAGCAAGTGGCTACTGGAAATCATAATTGTTGAAACCATAGCCAAAACACACAATAATAAAAGTAGAAAAATAACAAAAGATAATCGGTTTACCCTGGTTTGTTCCAATAAAGGAATTTTGTCCATCATTCAAATAGAGTATTTTATTGAGTTTCAGAAATCTGTAGAATATAATAATTAAAAGTATGGCTTTTCACTTTTTTTTTTTTTATTGTTATTTTTTTTTATGGTAAACCCGATAATTGCCTCTCCCGCAGCTACTAAAAGGCTTGTCATCTGGCCACAAAGGGAGAGGTGGTTTTTCACTAATACAAATAATCTCATTTGGGCTTACCCGATCTAATCCAACTCAGGCCTAAATATTTGCAAATTAATTTTAAACCCAATTATTGAATATACTTACCATCAAGGCCATGTGAAGTATGAACCATATCCAACAATAATAATATTATTCCACTTCATTAAATTTTTGTACGTATGTGGAATTTTCAGGAGGCAGTTGCAGAATTTATAAATTCGATTGTATTATACTGATATAAAAATATGAGCATACTGGAGATAAGGACATTAGCCTATTAGATGGAAAGTCAATCGCTAACCTAATCCCTGGGAATTATCTTGAAAAACACTTCTACGATAACCTTAATAATTTGACACTCCAGTTACACAAAAACCCCAAAATGTGATAACTTGTGTTTGTGTGATGGCTTGAAACGTTGACGTTTTATGGTTTAAATGAGACGACGTCGTTTTGAGTAGATCTGAAGAATTGATCCTGAGCGTTGATGGAGAGAAGATCCCAAGGCTGAAATTAACTCTTTGGTCAACCATATAAAGGTTGAACCTAGGGCAAATTCAGATACACAGTGTTTTTCGTGTGAACTCTCTCTTCTTCTTTGGGACAAAATCGAGTCTGTTAGGGTTTACGATTTTGGTGATTGAATCTTGTAACTTTGTCATTGAGTGGCTGGTTCAGGTCATTCTGGGTGTATTTGATTACGTGATCAGTAGGGATTCGAAGGGTAGAGTCTTTAGGGTGAGTTACAAATTGTAGAAGGGGTTTAAAGGGTTTCGTCACTGTGTGTAATCTGAACTCTAATCTTGACAGTTTTAGTGCAGTGAGCTTGATTGTTTCCCTAGCTTAACGTAGACGTAGCTTGCTCATATTGAGCAAGTGAACCACGGTAAATTCTTGGTGTTCTTGTGTGTGCGTGGTTTGTGATTCTTTATTGTGTTGGTTGTGGTTGGTTGATTTTGTGCATGTGGTTATAACAGTGGTATCAGAGCTTTAGGTCACAAGAAATTAGTGAAGAAATCAGATCTAAATTCCAATATGAGATTTCTAGGGTTTTTTCAGGTAGTCATTAAAATTGGGGCTTTCTCAATTTTAGGGTTTAGAAATCAAATTGGGAATTAGAATAGTGTTATTCTGAACGAATTAGCATAGATTTCATAAAGAGTAGAAATCTTGAGTATTCCCATTTCTTGAGGTTCAAGAACATAGTCTGAGTTCTTGATCTCGCTATCTCACAAATCAATCAAACACTTCACTATGTCAAATACCACCACCCGAATGGAAATCTCCCAATATGATGGGAAGATTGACTTCGGGAGTTGGAAGAAAAAGATGAAAGCGTTGCTCTCTCATAAGAAGGTGGCCATTGCACTAGAAGGAGACCCCAAGAAGTGGCCAAAGGAGAAGTTGAAGAAGAGGGAGGAGATCAATGAAGAGGCATACAACCTAATAGTCATGAATCTGTCGGACAGCATCCTCAAGAAGGTAGACAGAATCGAATCACCGCTTGAATTATGGGGCAAAATCAACTCTTTGTATGCTTTGCAATCTGCCCCTAACT